TGTCACTGCAGATATATTAGAGGTATTCAGAATTAAACGACCGGTTGTAGCTCAACCTGACAACCATTTCGGTCCCAATAAAAGAGTTTTTGGACTTGATTTACTTTTGAACGACTTTACAAGATTTGATTCGGTGTGTGAGCACCTGAAAAGAAAAAAAGCGCTTTTCCCATACTTGATGTAATAAAGGGTTGATAATATAATTGGTGGACATTAAGTTGTTGTGCGGTTTGGTTAATTTTAATTTAACTCAATTGAAAAGCGCTTTGTTTCCATTAAGAGTGCTCAGATTGAATGTTTGAAGTGTTCGGTTAACGGAATTATGGAAAAGTTGAGGTCAAACGCGTTAAATAAGTCTAAACGATAAGAGAAATTTAGTTTTGATTTTATCGCAGCTTTTTATATATAAGTTTGCGTGACCTTTGCAAAGGTGAATAGTGGCTTTGAATCCTTTTAAACTACCCTCAGACTTTGACTTTTTCTATAATTATTGGGAATACTTAAAACATACTTTAAGTGACATTCTTATGGAAATTATTCTCCGGTGCGTGTCGAAGCTTTTAATAATTGTAACGAGGCTTGTAATTTAAGAAAATATTTTCTTTGTTCCTGGAATTGTTAATTAAGAATGTTAAGTGTACAAGCATAAGTAAATTTGTCTCAAGAAATTTTTTATTGATTTATAATTATCGCTGAAGTAGACCATCAATCACCTTCTCCGAAACACGACTCAATAATTTGCAATAAAATTGTGACGTTCCAAAATCACTCTTTTTCGGCTTAGTAATTTATGAAAACTTTTCAGCCTTAACCCTCCACATCCATTTGTAATGAGGCAGTTTTCCCTTTTTTCGCTCCACTATTCTGACAAAATTCTCACTTGGTTAGTTCATTATTAATACAAGCAAAGACAGGCCGGATGCTATTTTTCATTGAAACCGTTTCAGATTTTTCATTTAACTTGTCGAATCAAGAAAAATGTGTCAGTGCTTTATACACATAGAGTTTCGATTTATATTACCCTACACAGTCTACTGCTAACATAAAATTCGATTTAGGATAAAATGCTCCGTTTACATTGTATTTTTTTATTACGGTACCACACTATATCTAAAAGAGGTTCACAACGAATGGGGGTCTTTATTTTTACAACTATATCCTGTGCTCTTCATCGTTTTATCTAAACTAGTTGTTTCGGAATTTTCACTTAAGTAAATAAATCTCACGGTTTATCATTGAACCATGGAGGAAGTCTACATACACATAACATATACAAGCAGCGTTCGTGATAACATTTTAATTAATCGAAGAAAAAACAGTAGCGTGTTTCTAATTATTATTGTGTTCCATGAAAACAAAATTAAACTTTCAAAATTTTACAATTGAAATTTATGTTCTTTCTAGACTATGCATGTACGCTCACATCTTTGCAATATTTTTAGTCTTATTTATGTTCTAGAAGTTGGTTTATTTATTTATAAAATGCAAAAAGTTTCTAGTACAAGTTACATTGCACAAAAAATTACAAAGTTACGTTCGTATTGTCAACGTGTTTGAAAAACTCAAAAACAAATTATTTTTGTGTTATTTCAAAGCTGGTGTGTGTTGATAATTAATTTTGTAGTTGTTTGGAATAAATGAGAAATATTTTGTTTGCAAATAATGTAATAAGTCACAAGCAAAATGGAAATTATTTTATTTTGTTTCATACTCAATTTCGTATTCGAATGAAAGACGTCTAAGAGGATGAAATAAAATTTCTTGATTGAACAATACAAACCTCAAAAACATGGAGATTATACAGAATTGAAAACGGGAATTTAAATATTTAATTTTAATTTAATACGATTTGGTGAGACTGTTTAATATTTTTAAAGTAAATAGAGCCTTAATATAAGAAAAAAATGCATGACCAAATTATTTATTTTGTAAGAAACATTACTACACGCGAAATATTTTTATTATAGTGATGAAATTTGAATGGTATTGATTCATTCGTTTCATTATTGAAAAGGACTGTAATACTTGAAATACATAAACATTAAGTAAACAATTTCCATTAAAATTGTGTTCAGCAAATATTTTCATTACATAATTACTCAACCATTACGAAAATTTGATTCGTGCAGATAACACGTCATATTTTCTGTTATTTTCAATTCCTGGCGTAATTTTCTGTTATCTGAGATTAGAAGCGTTTCTCTACCTGATGAATAATTTCCCCAATCCCTCTTGAAACACCCAATTCATCCTGACTCTTTATCATTCCGCAGTTTATCTGAATTGCATCCCGTCTAGGATCTTTAAGCGTTTTTCACGCGCATGATTACCCACATATGTTTGTAAGTTGCTTATTCATAGGGAGTGGAAGTCATCTTTCTTACGAGTTTATTACTCTAAACTCGTTACTTCATTGTGCACTTTACAAATAATTTTATAATTCGTCGAGTAACTTTAACACAATAAAAGAAAGAGATGCTTCATGAAAGCTGCACTGCGATAATACACTTTTATGCATTGTACAAACTTGCAGTGTTTTCAGCGATATATTCACAAAGTTGTGACAGAAAACACAAGACGTGAGAAGAAAATGCTCTAATTGGAATCATCTCTAGTTTGTAGTTCAGTTTTCTAGCGAGATTTCTAGGATTGATAAGATGATAAGACATCGCCACGCGGCCTTGGCACCTAGCTTTATCGATTGTTAGTTGAACCTGTCACTATTCAAATGCGGATAACAATAGATAAAGTGCTTTGGCAAATATAAGAATAGTTAAAAAAGGAATAAAGTCACGCGAATACATTATGGTGCAAATTGGAAAACTGGCCTCAAATCGAGTCGGGATAAGTTTAAGGGAGAAGGGCATTATTTAGCCGATGTATCTATTGTTACAAGCGCATAATAATTAACAATAGATCTAGGTTGTCACAGAGGATAGGTGGGTATTGTGACACAAGGTATACTTTGCACAGGTGGTAAGCGACAATGGTTAAAATTCACCAGAATGGAAGCGAACTGTTGAAACTCGGAAAAAAGCACCAATAAAAGCATAGCGTCGTTTAAATAATCCAATAATACTAGAAAAAATTGTATATAAATAGTGTTTTTGTAGCGAATGGAATTGCAAATACAAATTAAAACACTACATCACGTTTACCTCTTTTGCACAAATACAATCGAATTTTAAATCAGGACTGATTAATCGGTTTAATTTGTACGCATAGAAATCTGTTGCTTTGCAAAATTTTTAAATTGAGTTCTTTCACGGAAAATAAATTCTTTTTAAAGATTCTGACGAAGGTTTCATTAAGAAAAAGTCATTTACTTGCGACCCTAAATTACTACATGAATTACACTTAATTTATCACGACGTCAAATGCTTATGGGCAAAGATTTATCATTTTATTATAGACATATTATAAAGGCTATTTTTGTGTCATAAATGTGATATAATCTTTTCAAATGACTTTAAATAGTTTGTTTCTTTTTCGAACAATAAAGTGATTCGTACGGGTGGTTATCACAAGGCTCTGCTGTCAATTATTTATGTAATTTAGCGTACAGGACAATAAGATATTAAAAATGAATGAATTTTAAAACAGTCTCTTTTATAAACAAAGTTTAAAAAGTAGTTTCGTAAGGAGGCTGAAAATTCAAATATTTTTGAACTGCAACTAAGTCAGGTGTGGGGAGAAAAAATAATTTAAGATAAGACTTTCAAAATTGTATTGACAACAATAAAACACGCAAACACTAATAAAAAAATGTAATTAAACATTTTTGAAATTGAATTTTGAAAGCTTAAAATCGAAACTTGGAAAAATGAGTAATATTGCTCTGAGCATCATTGGAACGCTTTCATTGTTATTTATTTATTGAAATGGTAATGTACATTACCAGTGTTTACCTTATTAATGAGTTTATTAATTAATGAATCGAAACCCGTAATAAGCTACATAAAGAATAATAAATATTTAGTGACAAAGTTATAAATAAATAAGACTTGTTATCAAAGTAGTTTTGTAAAAATACGTTAATAAAACTTTTTTTCGTGAACATAGGAAACATGAATTTTAAACAATAAACTGGTGAGGCATTCGAGTTATTGTATCTACATTTATTCAAGTATGTTGTAATTGATAATAGTCTTATCAAGTTCTTCTTTGATGTGAAATGTACTCCAAGTTTACAGCGTGAGTTCATATTTCTTAACAAATCTTTTTCCGGGTCAGGGAGTAATTGTGCCAACTTTTGCCCATCTACAATATTAAAATAAAAGCAACAAACTGCTTGCATTGTTTTACAATTCATTAAAACGCATTTACAAATTCAGATTTTTCATGAAAGTTGTTTTATTTCGACGTGAGCTTTTCATTTTGTCGATGCAGTCTAGTAATTCAGAATTTCCAATTTAACTCTTAGCTTTTACAACTACATTCCCCCAGTTTTAACATGTCACAAGCATTACATATGCAAATTTGAAATATGTATCTTTTATGGGAGAACGTCACAATTGCACAAGACTAATACGTTGCGGAGTTTCACTATTACGGGAAAAAACTATTAGATTTTATACTGACACGATGATGGGTTTCATCGTCGTAAAAAAAAATATAAAATATTTACTATGGGTGCTGTGATCAGTCTCAAATTCCGTGCCATTTGTCAGGGATAAAGAAAGAAAAAATGGGTTCGGTGGTGTGTCGAGAAAAATTATACTTTGAAGAAAATTATTTGAAATAATCGATGGAAACATCGCAGATTTATCATTTTCTTTTTCCAACTTTTCTATTTGGTAGATTTCCTATGAATTTCTTGATTCAATTAGATTAATATTTGAAAGTTTAAAACGATTTTTCTTGGCTTTTGTGAATCCAGTAACAAAGAGAGCAATTTTTCTAATATAAAGCGGTGGACAGGTTATTACGACGTATTTCCTCTGACTTCCGCTGGACAGATCGATCAACTATAATAATAATTGTTTTTTGTTATTTTGCAGAAAATTCACTACAAGCTCCAAGATTCACGACATCGTCGGCTAGTAGTAGTATTATTAGATTAGGAACGACAAAAATTATCCAGTGCCAAGCTTTTGGTGAGTACTTTTTCGATATTTGCTCTGAAAAATCTACTGTTTGTCTTATGAAATTTTCATTGCGTTCGTCGTTGGGGTTATAAATGTTTGTTACAGAAGCTTTTGCAATAAAGCTCATCTTTTACAGCACATATTTGCCGGGACATAATTTTTAAAATTCAACAACTAGCCCGCATTTGCCGTAATGGTGCCCTGAACTAATCCTGAAAACTTTATCGTTACATGAAATTGCGTCGGTACCGGCAATTTATAAAAGGTTAAAAGCTCCTATTCATGCAGCGCTGTACTCATTTACACTGACTCTATACGTATACTTTTTTTCTTTGTCGCTTTATGCGGCGACGTTATAAAATATATGTGGGTTAAAGAGAAAAAGCGCTTTCAATATAGGGATTAAAAAAACAAAAGCAAAATGATGTAAATATAGTCAAATGTAAAAGTTAGACAGGTGTAAGTTTCAGGCAAGTTCTTCCACAAAGATTGATTGGCGTTCGATGCAAATACTTATTTATTCTTTTTCTGAACGTTTCGATGCCGAGTTTAGGCAAATTTTAAATGAATTTTGGCCGTTTGGGACGCCAACACCAATTCGAAACAAGTTGGGAGTACAAGTCGGGGACGACCGCGTTCTCCAAAAGTCGATAAAATAATTTTGTTTCAACTAATCTGTTAATTTTTTATTTAAAGCATTTTATTGATTATTACGTTATTGAGAGATTCTAATTGGTAATGTTTTCCCCCAACTGTCTTTGTTAAACAACAATTATCCTTATTATTATTTTGCATGTCGGTTTCCATTAAATTTTCAAATCCAATTGGTGACAAATGATTCTTTATTGAAATGTTTCCAGAAAAATGTATGTATCTAATTTCCTTTTATTTTTCATGTGAAACAAATCTCTTTTGTTCTTTGTGGTATATAAATAATTTAAAGAACCTATTGATTCTAGGAAAAATCAAATACATTGTTTAACAAATATTGCGTTTGAATTACATTTTGTACAAAATGTATTTATGCAAAAAGTTTTGTGTCGGTTTATTTATTATGTTATAGTGTTGGTACATACCTATAATTTTGAATGTAATTTTATAGTTGTTTAAAAAATGCTGTAAATTGAACAAATGTTTTTTTTTGGATCATTTTTTACTCTACCCCGTCATAGTTTGTTATCAAACGTGGTTACAATTTTTTATTTATTCTAACAAAACAAAAAACAGTTGAAATTAATAATTTATACGTAAAGTTCAAAGTGAAATTTTAAAATGAGCCTACACTTGGTTATTTGAATTGTTCATTATAAATACAATTTCAAAAAAAATATATTTTTTACTACCTGCATCATAATCCTAAATTAAAACACGCTGCAGCGTGCGTAATTTGGCCTTTATAGCACGCTGAATTTTAAAGTTGTCTAGGTAACAAGAAATAGAAATACGAAAACGATTCACAAACAACCTTTTATTGTGTAAATTCACATTTTTTCAATGCTCATAAAAGATAGTAAATGGGCAGGTATAATAAAAAATAGCGTATAACATTCGTTTACAAGCGCCTTTAAAACACTTACGACGTTAAAAGCATTACGCTGACGCGTCGTGCTCTTAAACCCGTCGTGCGTATTTTAAAGGCTTGCTTATAAACTAGTATTATAATATACTATTATTTTTGACACTGTCAAAATTTACGGTTTTTCTCCCGTGTAAGGAAGTTTTGACAACTGTGTTTGGTATTTCTTAATACAAAACATCAGATTATTTTTAACAGATTTAAAGCAAGCCTTGTTGAGTCTTATTACTCTTATTCGAAGAATAAAATGTTGTATTCAATTCGTTTTAGTGTAAATCGGACGTTTTATTCCAGTGGATGAAAGTCCACTCGGTGAAATAATGCGTCCGATTTACACTCAAACTCGTAGAATAAATTACTAAGAGGAGTCTATTTACTCTTAACTATATTTTTTTGAATCTCGTCTAATTATAGGTACCTACGAATTAAGCGTGGTAGAAAATGGTACATTTTTCGATACGTACCTACCTTATAATTTTCGATAATTACTCTCAAAAAATCGGTAACATCTTTTCTGTAGTTACTCTTTTTATGTATTACAATTTCCTTGAACATATTTAAATACTAAACATTGATCGCAATGCGACAATTACTTTGAAAGTGGAAACTTTTCCATAAGGCGATGAAGATGAAAAAGAAAATTGGGTAAACTTTTAAAAACGATGAAAACATTGTTCAATTTGGAAATTTATTGTGACAGTTCAGCAGTGTTCAGAGATTAGAAAATGTTTTTCTTTAATTAGCGATGCAACAGCTGATTTATTTAAATTAAAATTACTATTAAGGGGTGCGACAGGAAAAGGTTTTAATACAGGAAGGGCGATTTTTTTGACAGGAAGGGAAGTGTCTCGCTTTACATGTGGGAATTTTTTGCACCATCATTTAATTTTGGTGTTATAAAATGAAGTACGAAGCAAATCAATATAGTGCATCAACGTTCTGGTTTATTAAAGAGTGATAACAACGTTGTAATTAAGCAATCAAAAACAATATGATATTAATATAAATGAAAAACTAAAAATAAAATCGTTTCAATTTTTGTTTTAAAAATGTGATCTTTGATGTTATGGCATTCTTATTTTTAAAACTGAACGTGGGTTGCACAAAGTTTTAATTTATTAAAAAACTGACAGTTATTAAATTCTACAAGCAGATATAAATCTACATGGGAAATTCGCCCTGCACTGTATTTTCACTCGTAACTTACTGTTATTCATAATAAGTACGGAAAATTTGGCCCTAATAGTGTCTAAGATTGTAGATAATTTTATAATTAGGATTTTATTGTTTAACTAACAATGAAAGCAGATTAAATCTTATGAAATTTGTAGACAAAACCGCTACAGTGTGATGCGTTTCTAACAAGCAGCCATAAAAGAAACCTTCCAACTGTCGTCCTTCCGTCTTATTTTTTTATTTTTTTATTTGGATGGTTAATATCACCTGGAATTTAATAAGCATTTAAGATAACTAACAAAATTCCTGCATTCGAAAAACTTTCCGTATTATTTAATTTTTTTGCCCTTGGTAGCAAAATTGTAGATATTGCACTTCCAATACCTCTCGGGCGTAAACATACCATTTCTGTAATCATGCGTTAATGACAATAAAATCTGCGAGACGCAATGAGGCGTCGAATATCGAACGCAACCGTTAAAGTAATTGCCGTGATAGGAAGTCTCTTTGATTTCCTGTTTGGTCTCCGAAGTACGTAATTTAACGGCTTCGAAAACGAAAACTTATTAACTTCTCCTTGAGGACGGTTTCCAGTCGTACCATTTCTGTGGAATCGACGACAGTCCCCAACGATATTATTAAAATCTAAATGTTTGCACTTGTCTTATAAACATAATTTAAATAATCGTCGTAATACAGACGGGGACGGTTTCGTCATGTAAATATTTGAACGTCTGATGTAGTTCTTGTAGAAACACCCAGCTCGTGATCTGTTACACTGCCGAAGATAGAACACGGGAAGAAAGATGTGTTTACACATATGGAGATTTTAATTAAAAGGATTTTTCTTTGACTGGCATATTATAACGATAATATTTATAATAAGTTGCTATAAATAGACGATTTTATTGGACTTGGTTAATAATGCGCCAAATCGATATTGTAAATTCTTGGTATAGTTATTAGTGTTTTAGTTAAATTAGGAAAGCGAGTAATGATGTTATAAATAAATCTACTGTTAAATTTAATTTCGTCTGTCACTTTATCAAACTTACCGAGGTAATTATTTCCGAAATGGATCAATAATTCCATATAATTACTACGCTAATCTCGTAAAGAATTGGTTGAGAGTTCCACGCCGAATTATTTTTCTAAATTGTTTTTTTTTTTTTTTTGGAAAAACTATTGTTGGGTCGTATCTGTGCACTGTGCAAGAAACGGAAATTGCAGCTGTTGTTGGATTCAAAGGAAATTATTCTGCCAATTAGACTACGAGAGACCGTTGTATTGAAAATAAAATGAATTAGAGACTAAAACAGCCGATAATTGCGTATTTTCAATCAGATTACAGTTGCACAGAATTGAAATTAATAATTTCAACTGTTCAACAGTGTTGAAAAAACATGTATTATTACGCCACAAACACGTCAATGTGCAAGACGTTAAAAGTTGAGAGGTTTGGGACTGGAAACGGTCTCGTGGGAGCTCACGCGACTTGGAGGAAGTGCAGACGAATGATAAAATTATATTTTCTCGTTGAGTACTTTATTAGACAGTACTGGATATGTACATTTTTCTTGCTCTTGCTCGACAAATTCTAGGTTATAAAAATATCACGTTTGGAATGATTTTTATAGAATAACTAAACTAACTAAAGACCCTTATTACCAACTTCCTTTAAGTTTCATGTTTCCTCTGTCTTTTGGTGGAAATTGAGGGACAAGTAATAACAGAATCAAAAGCTTACTTACTTTTTTTTGTTATTTGAAAAATAAATTTGTCTGGAGCCAAATGCAATGTTTCACTTTTGCATCTAACCGGAGGAAAAGTGCATAAGTGCTAAAAAATTTATAAAACCATACATTTCTCTCCTTTGGGACAAAAGTAAGCTCTCAAAACAGATTTTTCCTGTCTGGAAATGATGGCTTACGTTACTACACAAAAAAAATAGGACAGAGAAGGAATCAATGTTGTTAAAAGAATATAAAGTTGCTTGAATATTTTAGCTAAATCTTTTATCCTGTTTACCGTGTTAAAAAATATTTTTTTAATATGCTATTGAATAAAATGTATTGAATTAATGACTTAATTAACTCAGCTTCTAGCGATTTTTTTTTCAATGCTGTGTTTGTGTCTAGGTTGTTTTTTCCCGTAAAACAAATTTGAAGTTTTATAACTTTTAGACAAGATTGAAATGTATTTCGTAAAATAATAAGTAATAAAATCAGTACAAATTCTAAGTTTTGTATAGGATTTTTCTTTCTCTCGTTGCTACATGTATCTTTATTTTTATTTATTTATGCGGAAATAAAATCTATGATTTATTTTTGATTTTGTTCGGTGTTTAAAAACCTTACAATACCTGCAAAAGTTGACCGAACTATTTTCTATAAAAAATAATTCCTAAACCATCAGAAATGTTTGTATTTTGTTGTATTTTTTGTGGCTAATTAACTTTGCTGTCATTATGAATATAACTTTTGATTTCTTTTGTAAATAAATTTGTACTTAGATCAACTTCCTAACTCTGTAAATATTTTTGTTTGTATTTTATTAATACAGTTTCCGAAAATATACTTGTCTTATTAAAATTGATTAATTGATTTTCTTTTATATTTCCGGACCCGGATCTATCCACGTGTCGTCAGGAAATGAATAATCCAAAAAATATCATAATTACAACAGCTGTTGTACACATTTAATCCAGTATATTTATTATTATTGTTAAGTTAATTGTGACTTTATTTATGAACTTGTCCCTATCTAATAAATAGTAAACAAACCCGAATCTTCAGGTGGGCAACTATTTACCTGTCATCTCTCGAATTCTTTTCATTCATTCTTCCCCCTAATCCCCCATAAAGCCACTTACCCAATGAAGGTATTAAAAAATCCTGATTTATGAATTTTTGAAGACAGTGAATATCTATCCTCCAAGCCTGAAATATCAACAAAAGGATGTTCACTCGAGCTTATCAAGTTACTGAAGCAGTACACTTTCCTTGGGTCTTTTTCAGAGTCATTGGTGCACCGCATTACACATAATATAACGGTCAAGTCGGTCGTTACACTTAACTAATTTTAAAATAAAACTTTTGGGTTTTAAATATCGACGCTTGATTATTTTTATTGAATCAGAATGGATGTTTTAAGAAGAGAATGGGAGGTAAGACGAGACCACTTGAATATGCAATTAAATCTTATCCGCTTTTTTAATTTGAAGCGAACACAATTAAACGTCGTGGTATTATGAATTCATACATTCTTTGTTTATCTTACAACATCTGGACAATGAGCATTCTTCTATTGCGTGCAGGTATAATTAGGAGCCTTCCTGTCGCTTTGCAGCCACTCAGACGTAATTTTTCGATTGCTAGAGACATTTTGCGTTAATTACGCGTTTGATAAAGCGGAACAAAATTAAAATCGGAGGCAATTAGCTCATTTCTTGGCCTGGGAAACCGTATATGTGGAAAGTAACTCAATATTTCCGTGATTATGGCTGCCGTTCTTCACTCGATACTTGTGTTACCAATAAAATTTCGAAAAAATTTTCACGGAACATCACCGGAATCGATCTTCACGCACTTGTGTCAACTTGTTGTCCGGATTTATGTGCCGTACTAATTATTCACTTTGACTAATCTGGAGTAATCACATTGCGTTAGTGGGACATGTCTCCATTGAACTTGGCCCATTAATAATAATAATAATAATAATAACAGGTAACAACCAATTTGAATAAATCAAATTTACATTAATGAAGCCAATGCATTAACAATTTTGGCCGTGTCCGAAGGGTTTATGACCGTGATCTTAGACGCACATTATGCCAAAGGTGTGCTGAAATAGTAATAATAAGAACGCCCTTGCCCCATCTAATATTTAAAGATTTCACTGTTCAATTTGCTTCACTCTTAGTCTCAACGAAGAGTTAAATTTTAAAGAGTCACTCGGTAATTTAATTCCTGCAGAACATAATAACAAAACTTTTAAAATAAAATTGGCTAGCTAATTTCGTCCGTCGTGTGTAATATAAAACTTTCGGGTAACCCACCCGAGAAGTCCTGCAAAATTCAATTTTAATTGTTGGAGTTCATATTTTAGAAAAATACACAACATTTCTTACATGCACTAATACAGGGTGAATCAAGTTATACCACTGGCAATACCAGCTTTAACTAAGTAGCCATAAATTGAAAAAAAAAAAACAAATAAGTTGTTGCACTGCTTCAGACTTGGAATTTTTGTGAGGTAAATGAATTAAAACTTGACTCACCCTATACCTATTTGCAAGATTAAAAAAAATGTGAATTCATGATCGTGTTTTGAATAGTTTATTTTTCATTTTGTGTCGTAAGTAAATATTTCTATTTTTAAAAAGTTTTTGATTTCTCAATTTTCATAGTTTGCGCTAATGTGGAGCTTAAAATGAAAACAATCTATGAATTTAAAAAGTATGGCATATTACCATCTACACGGTGATCAAAAAATGACGGATAACCTCAATGATGCATTCTTGGAAAAGCTTTGGAGAGAACCGTGAAAAATGTTGAAAAAAATATCCTGTCTCATTTTTTTGAGCTATGATGAATTATGAATCTTAATGAGCTGGCACAACGTTGTAATGAAGCAGCAAAAATAATGAAAGTGTATAGCGAACAATTAAGGTTATATCTGTTTTTCAAAAATCCAAAACAAAATGACATTGTTTATTTATTTATTATTTATCCAATGTTGTCAGATATAATTTTAGGAAAATTAAACCTAACTTTTTTAAAATAAAAAATTACTTGTCCAAGTCTTAAATTTTAATAAATTTTTACTGCTGTTAACAATGAAATAATTCTCTATGTTTTAGAAAAGGTAACAAATTAACATAGACCAGAATAAATTATAAAATTTATTCGTCAACTTTGAAGCTATTCTAAAACTTTGGTTTACAGAATTTTTTCATTATTTTTTTGTAATTTTTTAGAAATTTTACCAGTAGAAACCAACGAGCTTATCCGTCATTTTTTGATCAACTTTTATTATTTAAATAATTTAAGAGAATTAAGTTTGTTGTATGTAAAAACACTATACATTATTATTTAATAACTTTTACGTATTTCGCCAAAGAAGCTGGTATCATCACGACAAAGAAATGTTTTTATTAAGTGAAATATGTACATATTTTAAAGAAAAATTCGGAAAATTAATATAATAGTTTTTTTTGTTTTGGGGTAAAAAATTAATGTAATAAGACTTAATTAGAATACATTGTCATATATCGTAAAATGTTTTAAATAATATTGATTTTTTCGGATGGAAGTAAAACTTGATTCACCCTATATAAAGTGCATTCGTATTTTTTAAACATCACATAAAATACTAAAACTCACATTTATGATTGTTTTTTATTTTTGTATAGTATCGAAACGTTTCAAGTAATGTTTTTGTCAATTATACAGTGAGATAACATGAAGAAAAAACATTTGTTGATATTTTTTCGTAATTTTTGGAGAGGTCGTAAAGCATTCCCCATGTAGATGGCTCTTCTATAAATCGCGGATTTAGGAAACACTCGTTTGAATTTATTTTCGTAAATAGAAACAAACTGGGAATGTTTGCCGTTGCAACAAATAGCCTCTACACTAAAATTTACTAGCATGAATCCGGTGCAAATATAAACTTAATCGATTCTGGATATCGTCGGTTTATAGTTTAATAAAGCCGACATTAACATAGTCGCAAACCCGTACAAAAAGCGAGTTATTGTCAATCTATCATTTTTAGGAATTGGCGTTGCACCTGCGTCAACAATACAAATATTTCACTTTTGCAAGTTATTTGAGAAATATGTGGTGGAAATCGGCACGAACACCACATAAAATACGGGTTTAAGTTACTTAAAATATATGCGTTTTTCCAATTTTCAGGTAATCCCTCGCCGCAATTTAGGTGGCTGAAAGACTGGGTGCCAATAACTGAATTTTCAACTGATGCTTACTACAAAATCATCTCCGCTAGTCATAAGGATGAAGGCAGCTACAGGTGTATAGCAGCCAACAAAATCGGCTCAATACTCAGCGAGGAAATGAAGATTCTCGTAGCGTGTAAGTGCAGAAGTTGCATGATAGCTTTAGGGAGTAGATTATTAACTGACACTGTTATAAAACCATCATTACGTATTACAAAAAATTTGGCCTCAACTAAATAGTTTTGTGTAGAAAAGTGGGCGTTAATGTCTAGGGACGTATCCTCGTAGAAGAATGAACAGACTTGGTGAGCTTGGACATGCACGAGTGAAAGAAAGATCTACAGACCGCAAAAGCCCCATTTTTATGTCTTGGTCTGTCATCTTCTTAGAATTGTTCGAAATGGAATCAAGTAGCTCTTTTGTTACAAATCTCGCTATTGTCCGAAAGCTCACAATGTGTGTAAGAGGATAAGGTGATAACGTTGTAATTTAGACTTTTCTTTCGAATGTCACACCTTACACCAGGATTAGAATTATAATGTCAGCACCTTTTACAATTATATAATCGACGTCGCCTCTCTAGTTTAAAAACAAAGCGTGGCTAATTAATATTGTAAACCAATCATTCTTTGGCAATTACAATATTCGCAATTTTACTTTCATCAATTTTTTTTATCGAGCTTAGAGACAAAAATTATTTACCTTGAATAAAGTAAAATTTACTTTGTTCATGCTTTGTACAATACATACAACATAATGTCGAATAAATTACAGTAATTATGAACGTTTATCTGGCAGTTACTACTGACAGTTGTTTTTCTTTATTGTCGGTTATTTTCATTTTTTGTAGAGCTCGAGTTTGATTTATGTCTGATATTCTAGATATATACAGGATGATTTTTTTTAAAACGAGCCATCTTGGATATCTCCAAAAAATAGAAATTAGAAAATGTCAGGTAAATTTTTATTTAGTGTATGTCAGTTTAATTTTAGTTTAAAAATAAACCTTCAACTTTGTTTTGTGCATTTCATACTACATACATTAGTATTATGTACCTACCCGTAATTGAGCTTATAAAAAACAATCGAAACACAAAAAAATACACAGCCGAATTTCTGATCAAAATAAATACCTTTCATTTGAAGTATCACAAAAGGGTTGGTGCATTTAAAATTTTATTTTGTACTCAATGTTAAAGAGTGCTTTTATGAACTAACTTCATTAGATAAAGTAGTCTTTTATCGTCTAGTGAAATAAGGTATTTTTTATCTACTGTTTAAATTCTTTATTAATAACTTACACAAAAATACATACTTAAACTAGTAAAGAAAGGAACTATATAGAAGAACCATCAATACCAGTGTGAAGATGGATGGTGCAGTGTTCAGTATGTCCAATTTTTATAAAAACAAATTTTAAAAAATGACACAAGAAATTCTGGTAGGTGAGTACAAAATAAAACAAAATATTATACACGATGATAAAGATTGTTTATCTACTCGTGAAAAAAGACTACTCGTGACTTCGTCACTCGTAAGCCTTTTCACTCGTAGATTTCATTTTTTTATCGTCTTGTATAATGGCATAATAAATAACTATTGAAAGGATTGTCTGTATTACCAAAGGGGTAAGTACTACAAATTTTGAAAGTAGACTAAAAGGTATTTCCCTGCAAATATTACCTATTTTAGGATTTTTCAATTTTTGTTTATTTTCTGATAAAAACAGGGTGGCTCGTTTTAAAAAATTCACCCTATATATAACTTGTGGCATAGCTATCGCCACACTGGCAACTTAGCAGCTGCGTTTTTTTGAGGTGAAATAGGTCAGAAACATCTAATTTCTGTGTAAAAACCTATCTTAGATCTAAACCCTTCTGACAATTTTTTTGCCAGAATTTTTTACTATTTCATACAGAAAAAAAAAAAATAGTGCCACAGAAGTGGCGATAGCTATTGCACGAGATATAACTAACTAAATCGATCATAGGTTTTTGATTTTAACGCTTTTCGTTGCTTTTTGTAGGAAACCATTTCATTTTACTTCGTTATTTCCGTAAGTGGCAATCTCATTTAATCTCAATGATCAAACTCGGGAGTTCATTGCCTTTTGAAACAGCTTTATTTCAGGATTAAAGTATTTAAATTATTAGTTGTAAAGAGGGAAGTATGCAATACCGTTGAAGAATTTGTATGATTTTACGCAAATTAAAAAGCTAGTGCTAGAATGTTGTGGATTATTCAGTTTTACTGAAAATGTGTGGCTGCGGCTGCCCTAATAAGACGCGATGAATATTTAATTTAATTTATAAATAAATGATAATTGTTACACTTTTAGAATCGAGTTTGTGAGTTATGATTTATTATTTACTGTTAATTTCCACCAACAAAATTTTAAATGATGAATTGTTTTTTTATTTTTTTTATAATGATTATTTTAATAATTTGAAAAATAATTCATTGTAACATAATAAAATAATAATAAAATTGTCGTCGTTCTTATGAAGTTTGTGATGACGGTTTATAAAGTTTATTTACTAAAAAACAGTGCATTGAGGTTACATTTTTAGGAGCCTTTACGCTACTGTACTCAGTTGATAGCTGTTTAAATATACAAAAAAAAAGATTTTACTATGTTTATTTTATCTCTTCTCTAGTGCTGTATTTCTTGCGTTTGAGTTTGTTGGGTTTTTTCCACAGACATGAAGGTTTTCGAAGATCAGACTGAAAAGAGCGAGTCCGTCGTCGAAGGGCAAGCTGCAATTTTAAATCTTCCGGAAATCGAGTCGAAACCTAAGCCTGAAGTGACCTGGCATACCGAAAGCGGACAATTACCATACGCTCAAAAATACGCCAAATCGAAATCCAACCAACTTATCATCCTATCCACGGATAAATCTGACCAGAAAGCTTACAGGGCGCGTGCAATAAACACTCAAGAAGGTAAAGAAGAAAACAGCGCATTTATAAGACTGAACGTGCAAGAATCAACCGATCATAAAGAAATTGCACCTCAAATTATTGTTCCTCCCGAAGACGTGAAAATTGTCAGAGGGACAGCTCAGACGACTTTAGACTGCATCGCTAATGCCAGACCGTTGCACGAATTGGAGACGTTGTGGTTTAAGGATGATATTTTGATAGAGAATGGGGGCATGTATTCCTTGAACGATATTTGGAATAGGAGTTTGACGTTGATTTCGGTTAACACGACCCATAGTGGGCAATATGAATGTCATGTTAGGCTGAGATCGGAACGGTTTGATACCGTCACAGCCAAAGCAATTGTTACTGTACTTGAAAAACCGAGATTTGTGAGTGCCACAAGGGCCGAAACGTTAGGGGAGTACGGGACACCTATTAGCCTACCATGTGATGTGGTCGGAATACCCAAACCCAACGTCACTTGGTATAAAAACAGCGAAGAGATTGATCTGACTGACAAGAGGTAAGTGTAATAAAAAAAATGTTTCCTCAATTACGTAGTTATTACATGATGTCGTATTTTTATTATCGTAGACATTAATAGAGCTCTAAAAAGTCACTTTATGATCCTTGTGTATTTCTATGAAATAAGTACGTCTTGTTTTTGTTGAAATAACATCACATTAATGTATGCTATTATCAATGTTTCATACCCTGTGAAAATATGTTTTATGCTGGATGTTTTATTATTTTAATAAAAAAAAAATGGAAAATGAGGTAAATTTGTGAATATTCCCAAGTGGAAATGACAACATTGTATTTTTATTCTTTAATGAAAGTCCGAATTTTTTTTATATTACACCAACATTCCACATTACCCGAAATTAAAAAGTGTGTGAAAACAATGTGTTTATGAAACCTTTGAAAATATTGTAATGGATTTTTGCTCAAGGCGAAAAAGTTTTTTTCCTATTAAATCCATCGCATTTAGTTAAACTCGATCAAGTCAAAAGAAATGTTTCATGTAATTTTCAAATATTTAGTATTGAAAACGTATTCGTATTGTTCTTCTACGCTGATTTTTGTTGGTCAAAATAATGCATCTTAAGTAATGAATATTACAATTTTATCTAATGCCTAAACTAAAAATTTAGAATCTGAAAAAACTGTTTAATAAATTTGATTCATTTTAGTTTTTAGAAATTGTGAGATCGACAATACATATACAGTGTAACAAAGGTTTTCAAAAAGTAATTGGGAATAAAGCAAATAATTATATATTTAAAAAAAATGTTCATAATAATTTATTTAAATTTTCATTTTAACATTGTTGATTGTTGTTTTATTTCTGTAAATAATACGTCAGTTGGTAATCCTTTCATATAAAATATCCACAATTTTGTTTGTCACATTTTACATATTTGTATATTTTGATTAAATTATATTGCATTACTCAAAATCGATAATATTTTCTATACATACAGAAACGTTTCTTGTTAATTAGCCTAACGATTACCGTAACCATGTTTTAAGTCTCATACAAAAAAGCTAAATTTCAATTCTCTCATTTTCCTAATAAAAAAATCATAAATCATGTTACACAAAACGGCTTTTGTCTATTAATTTTCCACCTTTTTATTCGAAAATTTTGCTTTTCAGGTATGTCCTCGAAGAAGACAATTCATTACGTATTAAAAAGCTGTTAATAAATGACAGCGGCATGTTTCAATGTTTTGCCAAAAGTGAAGCGGGGGAAAGTTCAATTTCGACCTGGTTGAAGGTGAAAAGTAAGTATTGACATTGATGAAACCCAAATCCAAAATAAAATTTTTCACCACTATCATGCAGAACGGAGAAAAGTGAGAAGTTTATCGGCTAGATATGTCAGGTTGAGAAGTCCCGGCGAACGCCATAGCAAAAAGAATTTTGTTTTTATGACACAATGTAAGGGCAACAAAATTGGAATGCCGACACATTGCACTTGTAGTTTGAAGTTTTGTGGCATTGTACTGTTTGCACTTTTATTTTATTTTTTGATTTGTAAAGCATGAAGTGGTTTTTTTTCTTTTGTACAAACGTTTTAGAGGTTCTGAGATAACAAATGTGTTGTAGCTGCTGGTCCCGTGATGGAATTAGGTCCACAAAATGTAACAGTTCTTGATGGTAAAGATGCAACTTTAGCTTGTCGAGCTGTGGGAGCCCCAACACCTAATGTTACCTGGATTTATAAAGGTAATGCTATTTTTTTAATAGTAAAAAAATTGAGGCTTTTGTAACAAATAACGCCTTTTGCATGGTTGTGTGCATTACTAATGTTTTCAGGCGAACTTATTGAAACTTCAAGTAGAGTCCAAATTCTCGACACTGGAGACTTACTAATAGTTGCTGTTAAAGAATCAGATGTTGGAATGTACACTTGTATAAGAGCCAATGAAGCTGGCGAAGTCCGAGGTTCTGCACATTTGGGAGTTTTGGGTCAGTAAAAATGCCTTGCATGTTTTGCGTCCCAAAATTCAAAATTTTCACCGGTTTTAACTACGTTTCTATTTATTTACAGTTCGTACTCAAATAATTCAACCTCCGGTTGATACGCGAGTCCTCCTCGGTCACACAGCGACCCTCCAGTGTAAAATCTCTTCCGATCCTGCTGTCCCTTTCGAGTTGCGTTGGTACAAAAATAAACAGTGCGTAATTCTTCGTTGTTTTAACTCGATTTTATTTTTTATTTTTGTGTGTTTAGAGCTTTAAATCCGAAAGCGAGTTCAAGGATAAGTATTTTAAAGGATGGCACTTTGGAAATACAAGCAGTGCGAGCTGCTGATGTCGGTCTCTACACATGCTCGATTAAATCACCTGGTGGTAACGAAACTAGATCAGCTAAATTGAGCGTTATCGAACTACCATACGCCCCCACTAATGTTAAAGCAGAAAGACTGGATACGGCCTCGCAAAGGGCAGTTAATGTTAGTTGGATACCTGGATTCGATGGAAATAGTCCGATAAAACAGTTTATTATACAAAAAAGAGAGTTGCCCGAACTTGGTATGTATGCCTTTTTTCAATTCAGAGGAACGAACTATGTTTTTGTGTTTCATGGGATTGGTGGTTTAGGGGCTCATGCGCTTGGTTAGTAGGTTTAAGGGTTTTGCTTGGGCAATTGACAGTTTTTAATATCAATCTTTTTACATTTATGCATGATTTTTAAGCCTTTTAATCTTTTGACTTCTAGTTTAGCTTTAGGTAAAGTACAACATAAATATTTCATAAAAAAAAACGTGCCGTGTGTTTATTTGATACAAATAAATGTTATTTGGCAGATATGACTAATTTCTTTTGAGTAAGTAATTAAAATGCTGCTAAAATTAAGAATTACAGTGGAAAATTATAATAACTGTTCTAAGGTATATAAAACAAAAGTAATTTTCCATAAACTCGCCTCTTTTTAGACAGTTCAGTAAATGGAGTATTTCTATTTATACAAACTGTAGTAGTTCATTAAAAAAAAATTCAAACATTGTCTAATTCATTTTTCCTATTTTTTTTATTTTATGGTAATGGATTATTTCATTTTTCATTATTAAAATGCTTAATCAATAATCCTAATGTAATATCAGAAAAAGTTTTTTACTGAAGGGAACTTCCATTAACAACTTAAAAAAATCTTCACTATTTCACATTCTTTATAATATGATATTAATTTTATAAAAAGACAAATATCTTGTTTTTCATCAATTTTAGAAAATATAAAATTTTAAATTTGCATTTAAATCTTAATTTTTTTTTAGAACATAATTTCTACGATTGACAAAAATGTGTTTGAAGTAATTTTCCTTTAAGAGAAAAAAATATGTCTCTATAAGATAAAGTTTGAAAAACTAAATCTGAATCAGTTTGGACAAATGTTAAATTGTATTAATTATTATTTTGTTTAAAGTTAGGTAAATAAAGTTACAATTTAAAGATTCCTTTATTTTCGTAAATATTTAAACAAAATTGAAAATACTGTAAATCAAAAAGGCATTACAGCTAGAAAAATTGAACTCTTGTCTTTGTCTTTTTGTGTGTCTAGTGGAATTTTGTACCTATTACGATTATGTATCCTTGTATCCAGGTGGACGTATCCTTGTATCCAGGTGGACATAATGACTTTTGTATTAAATTCTGCCAAATATTTAATATCTGCAAAACTCACGGTATTAATTACTTGCTTACCTACTCTAAAGGTTTTCGAGTTGTGCAATTTTAATTTAATTATATTACGCAGTGTTTTTTCAATAACAATTCCCGAACTCAATTAAGAACCATGATATGGCCAAACTTCTTCTTTTCCGCACGACTAGGTCATAGCGAACACAAAAACATCGTTTGGAGCATGAGCATGTGGCTGGTGGTATTGTAAAACCAATTTGTTATTTTTATTGTAAATACTGATTGGTGCATGCTCATCAAAATGTTGATTTTTTTTATCTAACCCGACCTTTATGAAAAACAGCTTTATTTTGTTCCATTAGTTCCTCCGATTTCAGGCCCAATTCCAGATCCTTTACTCAATTGGGTAACTGAACTCAGTAATGTATCGGCCGATCAAAGGTGGATTTTATTAACAAATTTAAAAGCAGCAGCTGCATATCAATTCCGAGTTAGTGCCGTTAATAGTGTTGGAGAAGGAAGTCCGTCCGAACCTAGTAATCAAGTTATGTTACCTCAAGAAGGTTGGTAGTATGTTGTTTTATTTAAAAGTGTTACTTAAGTAAGCGATGACTATAAAACAGTTGTGATAAATGAAACGTACATTGTTTGTTGTATTAATTTTTATCGTGCAGGCAGCTCATATGAATTTCTATTTAAAGGTGGGATCAATGTTTTATGCATGTCGTCAGTTGTGTTACTGTCCGACTGTCTTTTTGTACATACACAATTTCTAAATCATTTTTTTTCACATCAAATATCTTAGACAACAGTTTATAGTTTATCCAATAATTGATAATTTTAGCCCCTTCTGGCCCCCCTGTTGGTTTCGTTGGTTCGGCCCGAAGTTCCTCTGAAATCATAACACAGTGGCAACCACCACTCGAAGAGCATCGCAACGGCCAAATACTCGGCTACATAATCAGATATAAATTATTCGGTTATACAAACAGTCCTTGGATCGTCCAAAACATAACCAACGAAGCACAAAGAAATTACTTAATTCAAGATTTAATAACTTGGAAAGATTATATCGTCCAAATCGCAGCCTACAACAATAAAGGTGTTGGTGTTTTTACTGAAGGTGCTCGGATTAAGACTAAAGAGGGCGTCCCTGAGGCACCTCCTATAATCCAGAAAGTGGTACCTCTTAACTCCACCACAATTCAAATCACGTGGAAACCCCCAGATCCGCAGAAAATCAACGGAATTAATCAAGGATATAAAATCCAAGCGTGGCAAACTGACAAAAACGGCGATTTATTCGAAGCTAAGATGATGACAGTCCATCCGAATTTGCTAGATCCAAATCAGGAACAAACGGCCCTCATGACAGGCTTGGAGAAATTCACGGATTACAACGTTACGGTCCTGTGCTTCACCGACCCTGGCGATGGCGAAATCAGCGAGTTTGTCTCAGTGAAAACACAAGAAGATGGTTGGTATTTATATTTGATCAAACAAAAATTAATTTTTAAACAGTCCCAGATGAAGTCAGCAACTTGCAATTCGACGATATTAGCGACCGTGCCGTTAAGGTCATTTGGCAGCCCCCTAAACACATCAATGGCATCCTCACAGGGTACCAAATTCGGTACCAAATCCGCGACAAGCCAGACACCGTCAAAATCAAGAACCTCACAGCTGAGACTCTTAGTCTCAAAGTAACAGACTTACAAGCAACCACTCATTACAAGTTCGAGGTCACAGCCTGGACTGCCATGGGGGCTGGCCCCCCTAAAGTCGCAATCATCCAATCGGGGGTTGAACCCGTCTTGCCCCATCCTCCCTCCAAACTCGCTTTATCCAACATTGAGGCCTTTTCGGTCGTCCTCCAATTCACCCCCGGCTTCGATGGCAACTCCTCCATCACCAAGTGGACTGTGGAGGCGCAAACTGCGCGCAACGCCTCCTGGTTTGTCGTTTTCGAAATAAGCGATCCTGATGCAACTACGATTACGGTGACAGGGCTTGTCCCTTTCACTGTCTACAAGTTACGATTGATTGCTAATAATGTCGTGGGGGCTTCCGAGCCATCCGAAGCCTCGAAGGAGTTTCAGACGATTCAAGCACCCCCTGCGCATCCGCCTAAAAATGTCACAGTTCGAGCTATGAGTGCGACTGAAGTGAGGGTTCGATGGATTGTACGTTTTTGGTTTGTGGGGTTTTGCAGATATTTAAAATGTTTTTGCAGCCGTTGCAGCAAATCGAATGGTTCGGAAACCCACGAGGGTACACGATTAGTTACGTGGAGTTGCGAACAGGGGAAAAACACACAGCGACAATTGAGGATCACACGGCAAATTCACATGTGATTACCGGATTGGAGGAATTTGCGTTGTACGAAGTCTCAATGCAAGCGTGTAATGATGTGGGGTGTTCTATGGATGGGCCGGTCGCGTTAGAAAGGACAAGGGAGTCAGGTAGGGTGGGAAAAGGATTAGATGATTTGTTTGCGTACTTGGAGGTTAAATAATGTATGCGATGTTGAGTTGTAATTAACGATTTTAACATAGCGGAAGTGAGGTAATTCGTATGTAAAGTGAACGAAATCGGAGAGTAATTGGTTTAGGAAGATATACGTTTGAAAAATTAATATGCAAGAGGAATGGTGTGCGAATGTGGTTTGAGTAATATTCGCGGAGAATAATTTGATGCGTTTGAAATACGGAAAAGTACACTTAGTTAGTTTAAACGTAATTACAGTGAATACAAGTTTTAAAGTTTTTATTTTAATACGTACACGGTACGTATATTTTAATTACGTATGCAGCGAGTAGAATTGAAAAATATCTTCACTACACCCCCAATTTTGTATCAATATGAAAATAATAAAATTTTACAACTTGTACAGTGATTAAAATCCTTGGCTATTCAGCGTATACGAAAAATATAAATTTTGTACCAAAAGAAAATATGGAACAGCAGTGGTCTCTAAGCAAAGTTTAAATTTAACTAATAGGAGTGAAAAAATACATTTTTATTTTGAGTTAATTGCTAATTGTTAATCGTCCAAATGTTAAATTTTCTGTACAATTGGTTTTTATTTTTAGATTACCTAAATTGTTGTTTAAATTTCCACACATATCTTGCGAGATAATAAGTGAAATATCTGATAATAAAATCTGCATTATTTACACTTAATGGTTTCTCAGATCTATATCTGTTTTGTTTCGCTTACAATTATGAGCAATTTTGAATAATAAGTCAATATTTTTAAATCAGAATTTTTGGATAAAATATACTGTGTGTAATAATAAATAATAATAAATGTGTAACAGGTGAGCAACGGAATTCTGTTTCAGAGAGAAATAGACATACAGGGTACACCAGAACTCGCGCCCCAGAGAAAAATGCCATGTAAGGTAAGATACCAGGAATATGGAAAAAATGTTAAAAAAATTCTATCTATCAAAAAATTTTGACATTTGACATTTTTTATGTCTGTTTAATAATACTGATGATCTTGTATATGTTTTTTTAATAATTATTTAGTAAAGGTACAAACATTTTGCCAATAAAAGCCACAAATAACATTAAACAATTTAGAATACAGAGCTTCCTATAGCAAAAAAATTTGGAAAATTATTTTTCCAACAGAAATAAATAGTCAAAATGCAAAATTTTAACTCTCAAAACTTCGAAATTTTTATAAATAGAATTTTTTTTAACATTTTTTCCATGTTCTTGGTATCTTACTTTACATGGCATTTTTCTCTGGAGCGCGAGTTCTGGCACCCCTTTTTAAGTCATGCCGTCATGTGTAATTTTATTCCTTTAAAATAGTTCATTTCAACTGTAACTTCGAGTAGTTCTATCACTCAAAATTAATAAAAGACATACGTGGAAACTCCCTGAATCACAATTCCGTTGCTAATGATATGTCGATATTAAATTAAATTTTTATTATCGTATAATTTTGAATTTCTTGAAAAGGTTAGCAAGTATTTACAAAGAGATTGTGGTAAACAATTTTCATTTTTTTTATCTGCTAATATTACATAAGGAAACTTTTCTTTATAGCATATCTTGCGGTTTCTATTTCTGGGCATGTATTTTTTAAACAATTACTAAGGTCTGGTAAATACAAAACATTCTTTTTTTTTATATAACTTTCTTTTCGATAAGATACAATATCCAAAAAAAGTTGTTTTTGACAAAATGTGAATATGAATATTGTGATTTTCTCAATTATGGTTCAAAAACTTTGTTAATTTGATCTTGAACGATGAAACAATCCTATAGATATTTCATTCATTGATAAAATTTTCAATTTCGAAAAAAACTAATATCCGAAGAGATAATTATTGCAAACTTCAACAGAAAGAGAAAAAAAATTAGGTACTCGTTAAAAAGTTTATTTATATGAAGATTAGTTTGATTTCCATTTTTTTTTTCCATTTTACAACGAAATAATGAAGTCGTGTAGTGGAAAATAATAGTGATGGAAACCGAGATATTTATAAAGAATGAAGTGCAAACAATGAGCCGGTTCTGTTTGAAAGTTATTCACCAACTGCAGTTATATCAGATTATTATTATGGAAAATGTAAACTGTATTTCATTTGCACTGAAATACAATTAATTATTCTTTTATTTCTAGATGCATGAAACATTTTTTTGCTTTTGCTTTTAATTTGAATAAATATTGTATTACCACTGTTCATTGAAATTTTTGTTTATCAATTATTACCATTGTGTCGCATTCGCAAAAAATTCAAACAATTTATTAACGTTGACTGTCCACTCGAACTGATGAAGTGTGAATACGCTGCAACGCCATGAATACGTTACAACTCCAATTCCACATCTAGTTTCCTCTAAAAATCCAGTTTTTCATAAAAACAACGTTGTAAACCTCGCCCAATTCACACAATTGCAATTTGCAGTGCCATCGTTCGGGCCATTAAACATCGAAGCAAACGCTACCTCCAGTACTACAATCGTAGTGAAATGGGGTGACGTCCCAAAAGAACACCAAAACGGCTTAATTGAAGGCTACAAAGTTTATTACGCTGCCGAATCAAAATCACCCGTACAGTACAAACTAATCGCCAGCAATTCGACTTTTACAACCACTCTGACCGAATTGCGAAAATTCGTCGTTTATCGCATCCAAGTCTTGGCGTACACCCGACTTGGTGACGGCGAGCCAAGCAAACCCGCCGTCAGCGTCCGAACATTCGAAGATGGTGGGTTTCGTGTCACGTTGTTGTCCCAAAACTGAGTTGATTGTTTTAGTCCCGGGTCCTCCCTCGAATGTGTCATTCCCCGACGTTTCCGTTACATCAGCGAGAATCATTTGGGACGTCCCGGAAGAGCCCAACGGCGAAATCCTGGCTTACAAAGTCACATATCATATCGATAACGTGAACGTTAATAATAAATACTCGAAGGAATTTCCGCCGTCTGATAGAACATTCAGGTGCGGCGATTCTAATGGTTTTGAAGTGTGTAATTGTCACTAATTGATGATTATAGGTTTACACAGTTGGAGCCTGAAAAGTATTACATGTTCTCCGTGACTGCTCAGACGAGATTAGGCTGGGGCAAAACAGCTCATGCTTTAGTTTTTACCACCAATAATCGAGACACACCACAGTCACCATCCTTGCCACAAATCAGTCGCAGCCAGGTACAGAGCAAACAAATCACTTTCAGCTGGACACCGGGCAGAGATGGATTCGCACCACTGAGGTGAGTTAAAAAAAAGAAACTTAAATTTGGTGGTGAACCAAATAAATGGAAACATACTAAGAACTTTTTTTCGATTAAAAATCACATTTTTATAGTACTTTATCATTCCTCAATTAGTGTTTTTTTTTTTAAGTAAGTAGTTTAAACAAATATAACGCTTCTTTTTTTTTTCGAAAACCTAAAAAATTCATTTGTGTCAATTTATATTGCAAAAGCGAAATATGTACAAAGTCTTGAAAATTCTCAGTTATCCCAACTAGAATCTTGAAAATAAAACATCTGATAAATCTGGATGACTTGAATAATACCCTGTGAATATATATCAAAACAAATTACTTTGCTATTTACCATTTTTTCGAAAAATCTTTCTAAACCCAGATAAAATTTTAATTAGTTTGAACGTAAATTCTAGTACCCGCCAATGTCTCCCTGCGTACATTAAAAGCGAAAGAAGATAAAAACTTAGATAGCCAAGCAAAAACCAATTTTTTATTCGTAGTAAATGAGAATGACATTCCAAGTTACGCACCACACTTGATCAAGGGCACTAACCATAGAATGCACTAACCTTCAAATTAAATGTTCGAAATGACGCCCTCCGTTATCGATGTATACTTGTGCCCTTCGAGCCATAGAAGCTCTAGTTCTCACCAACAATCTGTTTTAAATGGTCCCATAGAAAAAAGTCACAAGGATTTAAGTCTGGTGAACGAGCTGGCCATAAAACTGGTCCATTACGACCTATCCACCGATTTTCTAAATTTGAACTTGGCGACCGCGAAATCTCTCCAGCAGCATTCGATAAAGCTTCCCCGTAGATCAGCACCATGTCTGTTAACTMMGGATTAGTRTACTGCACCATTTTTGACGATAATTACGGGAAATTCACTTGCCAATAAATTGTAAACACGGCCGCATGCAGGTGAAGGACGTGACTAAATTGTGTCAGTAAGTTTTTGCAAGACCTATCTGCCTGGGTTTTTGCCGTATTTACTTTTTTTGCGTACCGTGCCATCCATAAACGACTCGATGACACGGAATACGGTGAAAATAAATGTAAGTATAAATTTGAGTTTTCGAAAAAATGGTAGATATAGAAGTAATTTGTTTTGATGAGTTTTATCACCGTTTAAAGCTTCTTAACGCATTTCAATAACATACTGTGTAAAGTTCACAAGGTGCATTTTCTGTTATGTTTTGAAAAACAATAACGGGTATTGAAACATAAATAACAGAAAAACATAAATAATACTGCTTCCCCAAAATTCTGAGATTAAACAAAATTTTTAATAACAAGATTAAGGCATTTAGTATTAAATTCACAATAGTTCTTCTTTACTATTTTTTTACGTTTCTGGTTTCTTCTGGCATTATTTGTTACATCCATGACAACAATTCGGTCATTAATTTTTATGTTTTATATTTCTATATACATATTTTATTAATACATTTAAAATCTTGAAATGATTGCGTTTTCTGTGTGATACAATATCCAAGGTAAAATCAAAATATTTTTATTGGTTATTAGTTATTACTTGAGTTATTCTCTAGCACATATTTATTTTCCACACTTTCTACAGTATGTCCCCGAATTGTGTTAACAAGAGAAAAAAAAATATCTTTGATTTTACGCCCAAACTGCAAACGAAAAATATTTTTTGCTTCACCTGAAACGAGCAAATCTGTAATTATAACTTCATTATTCTGAAAAGTTAATGATTTGACAACTATATGTCACTTTGACAATTAATTTATAACTGAAGAATGATAGTTCTTGTTAAAAATGACTTGGTTTCTTATCTTAAAGCTGTTTCTCTGAGTTGCCATGTATTAAAATTGTTTTTCACAAACATATTTATTAATTAACTTGCGTAAACTGATTTTGCAAAGTGACATCATTGTCAAAAAAATAAAACTGCCCATTTGATAGGACTTAAGAAGAGTTTGAACAATGAAAGATTTGCTCGTTTCAGGTAAAGAAAAAAATGTTTTTCCTTTGCAGTTTTAGCCTAAAAACAAAGATAAAAAAAATTTCTTCTTAAACTCAATCCGGAGACACACTGTATATTGTACATATCTGCGAGTAAAATATACAAGGTGATTTTTTTAAAACGAGCCACGTTGGATATCTCAGAAAAATAAACAAAAATTAGAAAATACCGAGTCAGATCAATTTTTATTTACAGGGGGACAGCTTTCAGTGTACTTTTGAAAATTTTAAATGGCATCACCTCCTTTGTGATACTTTAACTGAAATGTATTTTGAACAGTCTGTGTTTTGAGTTTTGAGAATTTATTGCACAGAACAGAAAATGTCAGTTTAATTTTAGTTAAAAAATAAACTTTCAACTTTGTTCTGTGAAGTATACATTAGTATTATCAATAATTGAACACCATGTACAGTTGGAGACAAAATACTTTGGTCGTCAATGTCACTTGAGTGACATTAAATTGTAAAGCATGTTTTAGGACTGTTAACCTTATTTTTAGCTACTGTCAATCATAGTTGACAAGTTGTACATATTTTTGATAGAAAGATATAATAGCTGTCATTAATTTGAAATTGTCATTCATTAAAGCTTGAATCACATTTAAGTGTCAGAAAAGTGACGACCAAAGTATTCTGTCCCCAATTGTAACCTTATAAAAATTAATCGAAACTGAAAAAAACACGGGCGAATTCCTGGTCAAAATACCTTTCATTTGAAGTATCACAAAGGAGGTGGTGCTATTTAAAATTTTGAAGGGGTTGTTTGTATTTCAAAGGGGGTTGATGCTAGAACTTTCAAATTTACACTAGAAGGTGTTCTCCTGTAAATAAAAATTGACCTGACTCGGGATTTTCTAATTTCTCTTAATTTTTCTGAGATATCAAAGGTGGCTCGTTTTTAAAAAACCACTCTGTATATGTATTTTTGAACACTTTTTTTTTCAGATATTATACAGTTCAAAAAATGGAAAATGGGGGCCCTTGGCAATCCCTTCCCGAACGTGTAGACCCCCAACTCACATCATACACAGTCTCCGACCTCAAACCCTTCACCTCGTACCGCTTCAGGATTCGCGCAACCAATGATATAGGTCCAAGCCCCTTTAGTCCTGAATCTATCGAAGTCCGAACTTACCCAGCAGCCCCCAGTAAAGGCGTCACAAACCTAAAAGTAGTCCCAATAACAACAACAAGTGTCGAAGTTTACTGGGACCCAGTCGAGGAAAAGTACTGGAACGGGGATGTTAAAACTGGAGGCTATAGAGTAGTCTTTCAACCGGTCTCTGACTATCCAACTGCATTACAAGCAACACCCAAGGAGGAAATTTTCGGAATTAATGTAAATTGATGCAAAAAATAAATTTCGAGATGATTGATTGATTTATTTTAGGCGAAAAAAATGGTTTTGAGTGAATTATTGCAAGATAAGAATTATGAAATAATTGTGGTTCCGTTTAATTCACAAGGGGAGGGTCCTGCGACACCTCCCGTCACGGTTTATGTAGGGGAGGCCGTCCCAACTGGTGAGCCAAGGGACTTAGAAGGTGAAGCTGTGTCTTCAACTGAAGTTCGGTTAAAGTGGAAGCCTCCACAACAACAGCAGCAAAATGGCGAATTGTTGGGATACAAGGTTAACACTTTTATAAAAATCGCAAAATTATTAATGGTTTGTTATTTTGGTGGTTTAGATATTTTATTTGGTGACAAACTCACCGCAAGATTTCGACGAGGGACACAAATTCGAGGAAGAAATTGAAGTGATCGCCGCCACGATGACCTCCCACAGCCTCGTCTTCCTCGACAAATACACCGAATACCGTATCCAAATCCTCGCTTTTAACCCCGCCGGTGACGGACCCCGATCACGCCCCATCACCGTCAAAACACTCCAAGGCCTTCCCGGTCCACCTGCCAATCTCCACTTTTCCGACATAACAATGAACAGCTTACTCGTATCATGGGATCCTCCGAAAAAACGCAACGGTGACATAATTGGATACCTTGTCACTTACGAAACGACTGAGGAAAACGAGCGTATGTCCATTACACTCGAACTTAATACAATTTATCGTTGTGTTCAGGTTTTAGTAAACAAGTCAAGCAAAAAGTAACATCGACGGAGCTCTTATTACAAACTTTGGAAGAAGAAATCACTTACACGTTTACAGTGAGGGCACAAACGATCGATTATGGACCCTCGATTTCGGATAATGTCACCACAGGGCCACAGGACGGCTCCCCAACGACGCCGAAAGAACTCACTTTGATTAAAACACCGTCAAGTGTGGAGCTCCATTGGGTCAATGGTTTGACGGGAAAGGGTCCAATTTTAGGGTATTATATTGAATCGAGGAAAAAGGATGATTTGCGGTGGCAAACTGTCACGAAATCAACAAACGGACCCTTGCAAGAATTTACAGTTTCCTACCAAAGTCTCCTTCCATCAACCTCTTACTATTTCAGAGTTTTTCCTTATAATAAATTCGGTATTAGTTGCCCTGCTTATATCAAAGATCCAGTTCTAACACCATCAAAACTGTACTTAGAATACAGTTATTTACAGTATGAACCTTTCTACCGACAGACCTGGTTCATGGTCGCACTAGCAGCGACCTCTATCATCATTATCATAATGATAATCGCAATTTTGTGCGTTAAGAGCAAAAGCTACAAGTATAAACGTAAGTCTTGTGTTTCCCCTATTAATAACACCAAAAATTATCGTAAAATTTATAGAAGAAGGTGCTCAAAACAGCATGGGCGAACTCATGGCAATGTCACGTGACGACATGACCGCCGACTACTACCGAACTCGCAACGGCACAAGTAACCTAAGCTCGACTCTGTCAAAACGTAGCACTTTATCTCGCAAGCCGGTCCATCAACAACCCCCTCCAATGTTGGGAAAATCCCCCCCGAGACCATCACCGGCTTCAGTTCCCTACAATTCCGACGAGGAGAGTCTCAAAGGTTACGATGAAAATCCCGACGATAGCAGCGTAACCGAGAAGCCATCAGAAATGAGTTCATCCGAATCCCAGGTGACTATCATTTGTGTTTTGTTTCATATTTCATTCTTTTTGTAGGGTTCGGAAAGTGAAAACGACAGTGTTCTCTCTAATTCACATTCATTTGTTAATCATTACGCCAATGTAAACGAGCCGTTAAGACCGTCCTGGAAGCGACAAAAACCCGTTAGAAATTTTTCGAGTCATACTGATTCGGAACCGGAAGGTTCAGCAAGTTTGAATGGAGGACAGATTATCATAAATAACATGGCGAGGTCAAGGGCGCCATTACCCGGCTTTTCGTCATTTGTTTAATGATAGTTGAATAATTAAGAAAATTTGATAATGCCAGTTATGACTTGAATTTATTGTGACCAACTATCAAATTTTCGTGATCTAGGCAAAGACTTAACATTTTTTGTACATATTTTTAATTCAAAGTCTATTTAAGTGATTTAGAGTCAACTATACTATTTGTATATAAAACCTGTAGGACTTTTTACTGTAGATAACGTTTCAAAGCATCTATTCTACCCACATTACCATTCCTATTTATATTTTTATATCTTGATATCTATTTATTAGCAACTTTTCCCTCGACCATGAAGCTCAAGACGAATTCAATTTCTTTTGACATGACGATTTATTTAGCTTTTGATGTTATTGTCTGACAGCTTTTTGTGGATATTCGCTCCAAAGAGAGTCTCAATGTATTTTTGTTTTTACGTTTAATCTCCCGAGAGCGTTATCAATGTACTGATAGTATTTACACTGCCTAAGTTTAATGTAATTAAGTGTAACAAAATTTTAAATAAATCTGTGATCCCCTAATTTAAAAACTTGTTTTTATTTAACATTTTATTAAATTAACAAGCAGCAACACACTTTTGCAGCCACTTCCCTAAATTAACATTTACTTCACTAGGAATTGTAGCCTGTTTGATGGCTGAGTAGGCAGCTACGTCGGCAATACTGATTTGACTCCTATCACCCAACCACTGACTTTTCCCTAACGACTTGTTCAAAATTTGCAACAAACTCGCTCTTTCAGTTTTAGTTTTAGACTTGACAATGTTATAACAAACATCAAGTAGAGCATCAATTTCGTGAACGTTATTACAAGTCTCATAATTTAAAGAATCTGAAGTAACTCTAGCCAAGTATCTTAAAATGTTAACTTCACCCAAAATGCGCGCGTGTGAGATCACCAGCTCAGGATTAGCTCCAACTGGAAAAGTTTTCATTACAAAATTGCACAAAATTGATTCAATAATTACCATCTTTCCAAATGAGCTTCACGTTAATTTTTGGGACATTTCCTGGTTTGAATTTTTCCAAGGTGTTGGTCAACTGTTGGGCATTTTCAGTCAAGGAACTTAAACTAGAATGGATGTAACTTTCTACTGATAAGAACATGTAGTTTTTCCACAATTTCTGGATGAGTTCTAGTGAATAAGGCGGGTTGGTTGGACTCGCGTTGATTATGACATCAGGTAGACTTAGGGGCTAAAAATTAATTAATTAATTGAGGGTTTTGGAATTTGATTAATTGGATTTACAGGTCCTTGATTGGGTTTGATGATTTGGCTTGTAACGGTCACATTTTTGGATATTTTTAAATTGTTCCTGATACTGTCCATTTGTTTCTTCAAATCAGCCAGTTGCCGGAGGATTTCCTCTTGTCTTAGCTCCAACGCAGCCATCTCGGGTAAATTTTGATTATTCTGTTTATGAGAGCTTAAATAAGTACATTTTAATCACACTTTAATAAAAGTGAAGACATTTAAACTAAAATTATGCCTTCTCTCTGACTGTATTTAAATGATTTAAATAGTAACCTTCTTCATTTTCACTTGAATTTTTGACAGTTGTTCACAAAAATTGATAACTGTGGTGTCATGCAAGTGAATTAAACAAGAAATTATGGTGAGTAGAGGGCATTTAAACAATTTTAAACCTACTTGTTAGTCAATAGAACAACTCAGTAAAATGCAGATATATTAAACCTTTAAAAACTGTTTAACCTGGTCGCAAATATCCACTTTTTTCGGAGCCGATGAAATGTGATCTGTTCGTTGTTCAACCATACCATTTCTTGCAGCGTGGATATTTTTCAATTTGTACATACAGTCAGGAAGTTGCACTGTAATGTCGTGACGGACGACCTGTTTCGTACGATACATCTTCAAAGGCCCGTTCATTTTGCCGGTTTTCAACAAATTTCGAAATTTTAACAAATTATCGACTCGTTTTACTAAAATCGTTTCGCGTTGTCGGACTGTAAGAGGGCAAGTGTCAAAACAGGGGCGCACGTCATCAACACACCAAAAAGCACATAAAAAGCAACAGTGTCACTGTTTAGGCACTTTTCAATAATATGTGATACAATGAGAGACTTAACTGTGGTAAAAATCGGGTGGTGAGTGTGATATTTGGGTCTGGAGCGGTTAAAATCGATAAGTGACGAGTCGCCTATGTTGAGTGCGCGGCCATCTTGTTGAATGATTGTCAATGGTGTTTCCGGTTAACCGGAACTAGCGTTGTCATTTTGAAAATGTAAAAAAATTCGAAGTATTTTTGATAAAAATTAGTGTTACGTTAATTGTGGGGTTTGTTTTGGAACGGGTTGTTTTTTTTAAGTGGGTTGCATTTGTTTTGATTGCTTTTAATGAGCGCCATCTGGTGCGTATGAGAGGAATTATTGTCATAGTGCGCTTGGATTGGATGTAATGTCCGAGCAAGAAAATCAATTATCGACGTAATTAAGTGTTTGTGGTGTCGAATTGTTGATGAATGGTGGAAATGTGTTATTTTCGTTGATTCGTTTGAGAAAAAAGTGTTAAGAACGTGGTGTCGGTGAAATTTTATTTGCAAGTTGTCATGGCGGCTGAAGCGTCAGCCAATAGGAACGCGCCGATCGTCGGTTGTTAGGTGTTCTTTTTCGCTTGTGGGATACGCGTCATCCGAAGAATTAAGTGCGTCCTTCTGGTTAGAGGAAGGATTTGTTGGTTCGATTTGGGGCTGATTTGTTGCATTTGATGACTTGAATCGAGATGAGGACTTAGTGAGTGGTAAATGGGCGCGTAAAATGTGTTTAATGTTGTTTGTCACGTGACGTAGCCGATTTAGTATGGCGAAAAGATCGACTGAACGACCATGAATCGTTTCGAGCAACATTTTTGACATTCGCATTTGTATACAAACGTTTGGTGAGCTACCACGTGCATTATTGACAGTTACACGACACGATGTCAACCCGAGGCCTAAAGAAGCGGGGGCGGCCCCCCAAAGTCCAAGTCGCTGAAAGAACAAAAAAATTCCAATATCACCTCCTCAAAAAGCCGAAATATCTTCTCAATTATAATAAAGGCTCGGATTCGCAGTCCAGCACGCCGAACGCGTCGCGAGCCTCCTCCCCCCAGGGCAGCGACGCCGGCAGACGCAGCAGCAACCGAATCAGAGGCAAAGACGGACACAGAGCGGGCCGAAAGCCGGGCTACACGGGCTCCAGCTACCAACGACGGGGCTACAACACGTCCGGTGTGGAATACCACGACTCTGAGTACCACTACGGTTCCGATTTCGGCGACGATTCCAGTGACAACAAGAGCGAAATCGAAGATGAACTCGGGCTCAGTGAAAGTGAATCAGAAAACTCCGTTGGGGACCCTAGCAGTGATAGTGATTTTTCTTTGAGTAGTTATAGTACGATGAGTGGCACTCCGCGACGGGCCCTCACTGGCGCCTCGAGACCCATCACACCGGAGCCTCTATGGCTGCAAAATCGCGACATACCACCCTTGACACTCCCCAAATCATCCGACGACTTATTAGTACCTAGAGAACACGTCATGTCCATACTTAGTATTTACGAAGTTTTGAGACACTTCCGCAATTTAGTCCGGTTGTCGCCGTTTCGTTTTGAGGATTTTTGTGCCGCTATTATCTGCGAAGACCAAAGCAGTCTTCTAGCCGAAGTTCATATTATGCTTCTCAAAGCACTTCTAAGAGAAGAGGATTCACAACAGACACATTTCGGTCCGCTGGATCAAAAAGATAGCGTCAATATCTCCCTCTATCTAATCGACTATATTACATATCCGGAAGTTTTGCGAAGTTATGTAGAGAGCGACAAAAGTTTCGATCAGAAAGTTCTCCAAATTTTGACAAACTCAGATTACCCTTTTACTTCTTTGGACGACAGAATTGCAGTCTTGCAGTTCTTGACAGACCAGTTTTTAACCACTAATCCCGTCAGAGAAGATTTGTTGAGCGAAGGTAAAAATTAAATTTTTTGCACAAATTACACAAGGTTTTGTAATCATTAGTGCTTTGCTAGTAATAGTAGTGGATAAGTTTTTGATAATTAATAAAATGGGTAATTTTGTTACAGTTCCCATGCACTATGATGACCATTGTCGGGTGTGTCACAAACTGGGCGACCTTTTATGTTGTGAAACTTGCCCAGCAGTGTATCATCTGGAATGTGTGGATCCCCCCTTAGTCAATGTACCTGAAGAAGATTGGCAGTGCGGAATTTGTCGTTCGCATAAAGTTTCTGGTGTTGTCGATTGTGTTTTAGACGTAGAAAAGCAAGGACAGCTCTCTAGGCAAGAACATATTGGTTATGATCGACACGGACGGAAATACTATTTTTTATGTAGAAGAATTTTTGTGTAAGTTGGAGAAAATTGAATTAAACCTAAAATTATATATTTTTTTATTTACAGAGAAAGTGACAATGGAGAGGTACATTATTACTCGTCTAAGACACAATTTGAAGAACTTCTCAAAGTGCTGGATAATAATGACATGGAGGCGGCTCTTTGTCGCGAATTGAATGAGTACAAAGACGAAATTGTAAGACAAATGGATCTTACTGAAAAATTAACAAACCAGCTGAAAGGAAATAAGAAAACTTATTTAGATGCGGAAAATGGTTAGTGTGTTTTTCATAATATGATTGTTATTGAGCAATAAGTAATTAATTTTAACACGAAATGTTGATTTCAGCTTTAATAATTAAAACAAATAAAGATATTGAAGATAGACTGGAAGAAGAACGCAAGGAACGAGTGCGACAAAACGCCGAAGATATGGTTGCTAAAATGCACGAAGAAAGTTCGGATGCATTTCCAGAATCTGTGTCCGAGGAAACAGTTGAAACGTCAACTGCAGCTGATGCTAATCAATCAACTACCACTACTAGCGAAGAATCAGAAAAGAATGAAACTGAAGAGGAAGATAAAGAATCAAATAAATCACGAACCGGCACTCCGGCCCCAAAAAATGTCAGTTTGGACGATTTGCGTAAACGTACAACTGCAGTTTTGAACCGAGATGACGATAAAAACGGCGATGCTTCTCGAATGACCCGACTCAAGTCGAGTCAAATAGCGAACGGAACTTATTTATTCAAACTCGGGATGGAAAATACGTTTAAATCGTACGTCAATCAATTTACAACAAATGTTATAGCTTTAAACAAACCACAAAGAAACGAAGAGAGGGATAAGAAGAGACATCTCTCGCATAAATTCTCTCTAACGCAAGCATCGGAATTTAAATGGGCGGGGGCTTTGAGTGGCAACCGCACAATTCTGTTAAACACTTTAAGACAGACATTCTTACAGTTGGAACAGTCTATACAGTCGTCTTTTATGCACCCGAATTGGCAATTATTGCGGAAACATTGGTTGAACATCGTCGGTGGGTGTCAACAACCGAAAGATTTCGCGAGGGCTTTGATCGTACTGCAGGCTTGTATCAAACCTGTGGTATTTGCGACCGTTTGGCACGAACAATTGGGTCACATTAAATTATCAAGGATTACTGCCGTTGAACGTGAAGAAAGAAAGAAAATAGAGAAACGCGAAAAGAAGGAACGTGAAGAGGAGGAGGAACGAAATCGGATGTTGATTAGTGGTTACGTAAAGTACACTATGGGTTTCAAGCACCAATTGTGGAAACAGAAAGGCGAGGAGTACAGGATACATGGCCGATGGGGTTGGTTGTGGTTATCTACCTCTAGGAATTTCAAGCATGTCAATTCTAATGAGATGGGATTAGCGGCAGAACCTCTGAAATATATGGTGCAGCTTTCTGACGAAACCGATAGCAAAGTTGTAGGTTTAGAACCTGAGATGTATAAGTATGTTTTGAGCAAATATGGCAAGGATAATGAGGATAAAGATGACGACTCCGAGTTAAAAAAATTAAGAATTGTGCCTGCGCCTGATTGTTTTGATGAATTGGACGTTTCTAAAGCTTTACAAACTAGTAGTCGACTCTTGTTTCCGAAGGTAGCAAAAAAATCGAAATTGGACGACTTGTTGGCGAGGCGTACCCAATTGAAGACTTTGGAAGAGCATAAAATATCGCAAACGAAAAGCGAAGACAATCAGAAAGAAGACGAAGCAGTTGATGTTGAAGGAGACGATAATGAAAATGATACATCATTAGGTTTAGATAAACAATTGAATAATATGTTAGTAGGAAAAGTCACGTTACCAAACAATACACCACAAACGACAGCTAATCGTGAAGTACTAAATTCGATAGCTAAAAAAATACATTCGTTGCGTTTGCAATATACTTCGATTTCGAAATTAGCTAAAGATTTTCAATGTTACTCGAAAGGTTGCAATTCGAGCGGTAGTACCAACATTGAAACTAATTGCTACTCGCCGCTGTGTATGCAAAGGATCAAAGTGCGACGTGAATTATTGGCGCTTTTGCGTAAAGCGAATTTAGCAACGAATTCAAATGCGATGAAATTACCAAGTTCGCCGATTGCAACAAACAAAAAGCCTTCGATTTTGGAGCAGACATTAAAAGCACCACAACAAGCACCAGTCAAAGAGATACCAACTGAATTTTTGAATGTTTTTAAGTCGGCAGCGACTTATGTCGATGAAATGGATGGTGTTTGTGTTCAGGGAGTTCCGATCGTAAAAAAGGACGAAATTAAGGAGGAAATAGACGATAAGAAAGTGGAAAAAAAGGTCGAAAATGCTGTTGATATTGTTACTTCTGTTGAAAATGATAGTTTTGAGGAAAGTCCCCCGAGAAAGAAGTTTAAGTCAGAGGAGAGTGACGTCGATATGGATGATATGACAGCCGATGATATCAATGAGATGATTGTGGGGGCTAATACTCCTTTAAATAAGAAGAGTATAACTATTACAACTACTACAACCGCTACTGTTACCACACAACAAACTATTGTAGATGGTGTTGTTAAAAGTATGTCGGCAAGTGAAAGTACCTCCGATACTGTTACAGTATCATCTAATATTAACGGTGCTAGCAGTACTGTCCAATCAATGAATGCCAAAACATCGGTATATAGCGCACAACAAAATCGCCGCTTTTGTGCTTTTAAAAATATGGTCAAACGGGAGGAGAAGACAGTCAAGACTGAACACGCAGAAGACGGAACTGAAAGAGTCTACACCAAAGTATCAACAGAAGGTAAAATTTACCTAAAACGGGTACCCAACCACATAGAAACAAAGCGTAAGAAGCGACAAATCATCAAATATCCCGTTTGTTCGACTTACCGCACTAAGAAATGTAAAAGTTCGCTATTGGTACTACCACAACACGAGGTCCGAAAATTGGCCCGACATGCTGGTCGAATCCACATTAACGGATACCACGCGTTAGCCAAACCGAACAACAGTGTATGGCCGTACCCCTGCGCTCGGCCGTTGTTTAAAACATGTTGGGTTTATCGAACTGGAATTGTTAAATCGTTGGCTGCTGTAGCGCTACAGTTGCGAATCTTGTGGTCGTGCTTAAGATGGGATGACATGCAAACTAAACCTCCAAATACCGAAGGCAAACACCAGGTGACCACCGAGACCGAGATATTGTCGTTGGAGTTGTTGAAACATCGACATGTGGGCCAGTTTATGGAGAAGACGCAGTATTTACGCCGGAAGGTTGTTATACCTTTGGAGTTGCCTAAAACTGTCAGAGGTAAAGGATGTCTTAAAGTAGTGGCAGTGTTTTATTTATTTTTTTTTTGTAGAGGTTACATCGATTCGTAGCGGTTTACGCAAACGCAAGCGTCCGGAGTCGCCTCAAAGCACCGACCCTCAAGTCAGTGAGGAATGGGTCGACGAGGATAAACTCGAGCTTTGGGAGATCAAACAGTACGGCGAAAGGTTGGTGTTACTGTTGTTGCTTGCATGAATTTTGACTAACTGCTTGCTCGTGTGTTATTATACAGGATAGAGAAGGCTAATGCACAAGTTATAACTAGGAGTCGAACCGGAAATCTTCCGCCGGCGAAAGCCGTCGTCGATACGAGCGAATTAATAAATAAAGTGACAGTTTCGGGTAAAGCAAGCGCTGAAGAGATAAAAGAAAAGATGGAACAACAATTGAGAATTCAACGCGCCGCTCATCAACAGAAAAGAGCGTTAGAGATCAAGAATTCGCCAGGACAGATAATCAAAATGGTCGGAAGTACTGCGCAAGGTGAGTGTGCTTTTTTGTGGTAATTTTGCGTCATGTTTAATTGTTTATTCAAAAGCTGCCACTACTACAACTACAAAACCGAGCACCACAAACACTCCAATACAACCTAAAGGTAGGGATTTAAGTGTTGGATGTGTGGTTACTCACGTGGCGCTTAGCATGTTTTTTCTATTAAGTATAGTATTCTTAAGATGTTGGTATTTACTAGTTTTGTTTGTTTAGTGACAACAACGCCGGATGGACAAATGAAGATTGTAAAAAATATAGCCAATCAAGCTGTCGTTAGTGGTAAAACAACATTGACTTCTTTATTGACGTCAAATAGTAATAAACTAGTTGGTCGTCGATTACTAATGACAAAAGCAGCAGATGGTACGACAAGAGTTGTCGCCAATGCAGCCAGTATCTTGCCGAAAAATGTTCAAAATACTCAACAGTCGCTTATTAAAGTGCAAACGACGGGAGCTCAGCCGACTCTGCAGACAGTTCAAATACAGCAGCCGGGTAAGTGATGTTAAAAGTTTTTTTATGAAACGTTTAAGCAAGTCATATATTATGTGAATTTTTTTTGTACGAATTTGTGAAGTCAAAAGTTTACTGACGCATACCTTGTGACTTTTCTATCACTTATCGTTTGTATTGTATTGTTTTTTTCTTACCTTCGTTAAATACCTAGTGTTCCAGTACTCATGTAACTGTAAAATATCACAAGGTTCTGACCAATGGGTAACGAGCTATTTCCTATTTACTTAATTAGGAAAGGATTGCAATCGAAAGCATAATATAAGACATTTTGCAAGAACAGCAATGTTTTTTTTTCTGTATGAAATAGTTGTCTTTTTGTTCTAATGGAACAGATTTTTTCTTTTACGTGGAAACTCTATTTTTGTGATCTTTTCACTTCAAAACGCGCATTTGCAAAGTTGTCATTGTACTAACAAAAAGACATGAAAATAATTGGTTACTTAACGAAAAATCGGAAAATATGTTTGCAATAATTGTTTCAAAGGTGTAGGCAATTTTTTTGAGTTGAAATGTTTTTTGAGGTTTTGTCTCTCTGTTCTTGGATGTAGTATAATTTTTTCGTGAAAGTTTTTCTAACTTTTTTCGCGTTGGACAAATAGATTAGATATTATTCGTTCACAAGTGATCGCTTGTGTAAATAAATTGTCTATATAATTTTCATCGCAAAGTTGTTTTTGTGTTAATGAGAAGTGAACTGATTTTTCAATTATCACGCAGTCACCAGCACTTCAACGCCGGTCAAACAGACTGAAACCCCACAAAGGGTCCAAATAATGCGAACACCTGATGGTCGCATTACCGTAAAAGGTCTTTTACCGGGTCAGCAATTGGTCCAATATCCGGATGGTAAACTCCAGGTGATGACCAGCGCCCAATTACAACAGTCTGGATTAACCGTTAAAACACCAACACCTACTCAAACACCCGCTAAACCAACGATTAAACCATCATCAAATACTCCCATAGGTAAGGTGGTTATGCAGGGAAATCAACTGAAACCGGCCAATCAACAAAACGCGAGTCCGGTTAAAACGCAACAAGTCATCGTTAAAACACCCGGAAGTTCAGTTGTTCAAAAAGTCGGCACTCCAAATACCGTTGTAGTGAGCGGCGGTCAAGTCATACAGCAGCAAGTTGTGATTAGCGGAAATCAAGTCATCGGGACGCCAACTGGTCAACAGGTATTTAAATGTTTGTGTTTTGTTTCATTTTAATTATGTCAAATGTTTAGGTTATAACGAATCAAATTGTGGTTAACAATCAGAGTTTGGCTCAACAGATCGCTTCCGGTAAAGTACAAATGGCCACGATAAACGGCCAACAAGTCTTAATCCGGCCGACCGGAAACAATCAAGCTCAAGTCGTAGCTCAATTGACTCCGGGTAGCTTGACTCAGCTGAATTCAGGTCAAACTGTAGCCACGCCGATCAAGCAAACCGGGTCTCAACAACAAACAGTTGAAACAAAAACACCTCAAACTCCTGTTAAAACTCCAGTGGCGCGCGAAAATGCGAATCAGAATGATCAAGCAACCATTGAACAGCTTTTGGCGGGACAACCGCCTGGAACTGTAATTAAATGTGTGACTGCACAGGTGATACAAACTGCGCAAGGACCAAGAATAGTATTACAGGGGTTACAAGGGGCCGATTTTACGGCTCAGCAGTTGGCTGCAGTGCAACAGCAAGTCAAGCAACAACTGCTCAAGGGTGAGTCTATGTACTGTTAAAATTGCGAAATTCGTATATCCAGTTTGGGACTTTTGTTAGTTTTTGTGTTTTGTTTGTTTAGCGCAAGCTTCAACCGGAAAGCAAGGGGTTTTGGGACCGACTAAGATATATCTCGCCGTGCAACCGAGTAATTCCGAAGGACAATCCGAGGGTGTTTCGAGTCAACCGCCGCCGTTAGCTCCCGTCCAGCAGTCTGTCGTACAATCGCTCGCGACTCCAGTGAAAGGACAACAATCGAACGTCGTCAAACAGACTGTTTCAACAGTACAGCAGGTATGCAACGTAATCCCCAAGCCCAAGGTGATAGTGCAACCTGCTAATCAGGTACTTTTGACTTGAGATCAATTTTAACCAACCTTGTCGCATGGTCTGGCATTTAATTGATGTTTTATATTATGTAAGTGCTTTTTTTTATTGTTTCGTCTATTCATATACATTTTTTCGACGGGGCAATTCGCTTTCGCATGTAATTTAAGAGATTAAAGTGTGAGAAGCATGTAACTTTATTCTTGTTTTTATGGTGGGTGTGAGGTGGCTTTGTTCATGGCTTCACATCTTTTGTTTGTACTAACACGTGTTGGAATAAAAGACTAATGATGAAATAGCTTTTTGTTTACTTTCTGGTCCTACGAAAGTGTAGTGCACGGTCGGTGGAATTTTTTCTCACTAAGTCTTGAAAATCCTTCCAGACGAACGAAAATGTGGCAACTTCGGGTCGTCAAGTGCTTGTCAATGGGCAGCAGTCGCAAACTTCTGCTCTGCTCCAAGCGATGAAAGCGAATATGGAGTCCAATCAGAGTGTCACAACATCGTCACAACAGCAACAAACCGCTTCTAATGATCAGAATAAGCAGTTTGTCGTTACTCCTGATTATATTCAACAAAGTATGTTGCTATATCAACCATCTGTAATTGTGTACAATCCTAATTGTACTACTTACCCATTGCAAAACGACTTCGCTAATCGGTTTTAATTAACTTATCACAATCGAACAGTATTTAGAAGAGCAAGGGTTCCTACTCGATCAAAAGTTTCCCTAATTGTGCGTATTTTATTTCTGTGATATTTTCGTGTTTTTGTTCTGAAAAAAAAAGACTGATTTTTATACATTTGTTCGTTTTTTGATTATTTCATGTGACGCTATCGGAAACTTTTGAGGTGAATAAATTATTATAATCTAGTTGCAACAATTTCCATGCGATGTAAGCTGTACCTAAATGTATCCGAAAAATTATGTAATAAAACTGTTACAAAAAGTAACCAGGAGTTTCCTTGCCAAAAACCTTGCACTTCTTTATTTTCAAGTCGTTTTGCTTTGGGTCTCCTAGTTATTACCAAAACTTCCTCTTTTTTATTTTGTATTTTTCATTTTTTGTCTGACTTTTTATGCAGCCATAAAAACTGCACTTAAACAAGAAAACCTTAATCCTGAAATCGAAGAGAAACTGTTGCAACTTCAACGATATCAAGAAAAACAAATGAAGCAAGAACCGGACATTCCAACACCAATAGCCAAAGTTAACACTCCGATACCGGTTAGTAACACGCGTTTTAACGTGGCGCGCAAGCGGACTCCTAGTGCTAGCAGAAATGATGACAGCGATTGGGTTATGGAGACGCCGAAGCGATCCAGGCCCAATAGAAACAGCGAAAATAAAAAAATTGACGATATACAGTAAGTAAAAATCGATTACATTCGAGAATACACAAGTCAATATTATAAAGTGAATAAAATGTTGCAAATAAAACTCTTAAGTTCGCGAAACAAAATATTCAAAATTAGATAGCATTTTTTGTTCATTATTTTTTTTTTTCAACTTTCTTATTACACACTTGTTTCAAGAACCCATCACTCACAGATAATCATCACCTTTTTTTAGTCATAAATAACTATTATTCTAACCACAATTAAATATCTTATCAGTGACGATGCTGGTTAATGAGCAAGAATTTTGAAACTAAGAAAATCTAACAGCTTTAAAAGTTTTTGAATTATTGATTTTTGTTAATCTATACGTAGGCGCGTAAGTTTGATTAATTTTTTTATTAGTGAATCCAACAAAGAGAAAATTATATCGCCACGAGCCCGCGTCAAATTAAAAGAAACTGAACCCGATCGCAAAGTTACCCAAAGAACAAAGATATTGGTCAGTCTATATCGCCAGAAGGAATTCCTCAAGAAAGACATTTTGCGAAAGCGAGCTTTACTCGAAAAAGAATTGCAGTATGAAATTCAGGTATATTTTGTAACAATTTTTAAGCGAATCAATCTTTAATTTTTTTGTGATTTATAGAAAGAAGTAGCGGAGGAATTAGCTGCCAGGACAAAAATTGAACGAACCAAACAAGATGAGGTCCGCACCGGTAGCAGTAAAAGAAAGTCGGCTGCGACTGCCACCACCGCCGTTATCCCTCAAGCATCGAAATCTGCACGTCATAAGAAGGGCCAAAGGCAGAGTCAGGCAGCCCAATCGACGGCGGCCCAAAGAAGTGGCATTAAGAAGGAAAAATTGTATTGCATTTGTCGGACGCCGTACGACGAGACAAAGTTCTATGTCGGTTGTGATTTATGTAATAATTGGTTCCATGGGGATTGTGTGGGGATCACCGAGGAAAGTAGTAGGACACTTACAGAGTTCGTCTGTGAGGAGTGCAAACAGGCGAAAGATACAGAAAAGTTGTATTGTTTGTGTCAGCAGCCGTATGATGACTCACAGTAAGTTTTATTCAGTGAAGTTGAGTGTAGGTGTAATTGTCTTTTGTTTAGATTCTATATCTGTTGCGACCGATGTCAGGATTGGTTCCATGGTCGATGCGTGGGAATTTTACAGTCAGAGGCCGATAATATTGACGAGTATGTTTGTCCGCGGTGTCAGAGGAACTCGTCGGTAAATTTCGCAAATATGAAGGATTTGTCACAAAAGGACTTTGAGGCGTTGAAAAAGTTAATCAAACAGTTACAGGTGGGGACTCGTGACTAGTTTATTACTAATCAGGGATTTATTTTTGTTGGTTTTAGGCTCATAAAAGCGCTTGGCCGTTTATGGAGCCGGTGGATCCAACTGAGGCTCCAGATTATTATAAAGTGATCAAAGAGCCAATGGGTAAGTCAAGTGAGGTTTGGTTTTGATGGTGATTGGAGATTGTCGTTTATTTCAGATCTCCAAAAAATTGAAAGCAAAATAAATGATCAAAGTTATACAAAGTTGAGTGAATTTATAGGGGATATGACGAAAATTTTCGATAACTGTCGATATTACAACCCAAAGGAATCTCCGTTCTTCAAGTGTGCAGAGTCTTTAGAAGCTTATTTTGTGAATAAGATAAAATGCTTAAGAGATAAATTTATGGAGACCAACAAATGATTTATTTCTTAATAAGCTTTTTTTAATTTTAGGCAATAAGTGCGTACACGAGATTTCAAGTTGATTGGTAATAGATCTCAGCTTGGAAATTGTATAACCAACTTGAAATCTTTACATTTTTTTGTATATAAGTTGTGAATATATGTACGAATGCGATTTAAGTTTAGATTTAGATAGTTGGAACATATTTTTAAAACTGTATTATTTATATTTAAATTAATAAACTTGTTTAAGTTTTTTTAAATTATTTTTGGAGTTCATGATGTAGTGTATTTATATAAAACATAAATATATAAAGCATCTATTCAGATATAGTTAGTGCCATTGTAGATATTGTGTTATTTAACAGAGTCTTCTTAAGTTTGCACATATGAAATTTTTATATTTAGTCGGTATTCTATCGACTTTTAACAGTAAATATAATATTTACATTATCTGCTGGTTTGTTCTATTTTTATTTTTCTTTCAGGTTTAACAAAAAATGGAGTGGATTGATGCAAGTATAATTATTTGTATTTTATGCAATATAACATTTTTTAGTGTTCATTCAGGATTTGTCTGAAACGTTCCAAAAACACATCGGCGTGCCGTTCCTGGAATATGAGCGATGGTCTCAGCCTCAAAGACTGATCTCCACACCCACCCATCAAAACACCTGAAACATATACTAATCACCAAATCCCCAAAAATAAAACACTTACCTTTCTGCTTCATTTTTGCAATAATACTGTCTCGCAAAGCTGGCGTGGCTGCATTCACCGCCAAGAACGTGCCACGCCCCCTAGTGGAATTAATTTTCTCAGGAAATTCAGCCTCCAGTCTCAATAAACCCTTTTTTAACTTATCACCGACTTTAATAACATTATCGAGGAGATTCTCGTTTTTGATAGTCTCGAGACATGCCTCCAACAAGGCAATTTTACCTGGATCCCCCATCCAAGTATTGAAAATCCTATAGGGCTGATTGGGCCTCATGTCAATCGAGTGGTAGTAACCCCCTGTCAACATTTTCTTACTGAAAGTGACGATGTCAGGGGGCGACTCTAGGTTAAAGTGTTCGTGTGCCCAGAACTTCCCTGTGGCTCCACACCCCGTTTGGACTTCATCAATGAGATAACTTGCACCGTATTTTTTAGCGATTTTTTGCAACTGTTGGAAAAACTCAGGGGAGGCTTCGTTGTCGCCCCCTTCTGACTGGATGGGCTCAATGACAATTCCCGCCACCGGTTTACCCTTTTTGTTGTAAGTTTGTATCAAATCCTCGACCGCTGCTAGACATTTCTTGTCTTCGGCTTCATTTTCGCGTTGGTTTTCTTCAAGGGGGTATTTGTACTGTGGAAAGGGTGCAATGGGCCAATCAAACGATGGCACATCGAGCTTATGAATGGCCTTCGAGTGTGTAGTTGCGAGAGCTCCCAAAGTTCGGCCGTGGAAAGCCCCATGGAAAGACAACAAGGACAAATCTGGTGCGCCTGGTGGTTTATTACTAACGCAACTTTCTTTTTCTAGGTCGGTAAAATCGACATTTTCGCCTCTTTGATGTCGGCGGTATGCTATAAACATCGCTTTGTATGCGTTTTCATTTGAACACGAGCCACACATCATAGTGGTAACGTTTGGTAGCCGGGGAGCCACTGATAGTAATACATTGCGGAGTTTTTTCGGCCAGTAGTCACCCGGGAATACGCCCAAGGCCGGTCTGTTGACTAGTGCTTTCTAAATTTTTCGAAAAACAATAATTATGTTACTTTTATTTTTTTGACTAACCAAATTATCTTCATTTTGGAATACTTTGAGTAGGGATGGATGGTTGTATCCAATAGGAATTGATGCGATTTGATTGTATGTGTCTAGGATTATGTTCCCGTCAACATCGACGATGTAGTTCCCGAGGGATTTGTTATAATCTGCGAAAAACTGAACCGCATCGCTTGGTTGGATAGCGTTGAGTTCGGCGTGGAGTTTGCGGGATATGGGGCCAGGAATTTCGGTTTTTAGTTGGGGTCCGGTAGGTTCGCCTTTGACGTAGGTTCTAATAGAACCTAAAAAAATAAAGAAAAAAATTGTTTGTTGAAATTGCACTATTTTAGAAAAAATACACATTTGAGTTTCCTTTTACAAATTACAATCGTAATTATTTTTATTTATCAATTTTTTATTAACAGCCATTTTACATTTTTTAAACATGTATGGAAATAGTTTTTTATATATACAGGTGTTCCGTTTTTATTGTTACAAATTTAAACAGGAATATTCAATTTTAAGACAAAAGTTTCCTATGAACATGTATCAAAAAATGTTACGTAAGCCTACACCCCTTGAAAGAGATGCGTTTTCCCGTAATGGGGTTTTCCCACTGTTGCAGAATAGATAAAATTACAAGAGTTGGTACAGCTGATGACTTTTGAAAACCTGAACGAATTTAAAGATCAGTTGTCGAAAGTTTTAATCACGGGTGTCTTAAACGGTGAAACAAATTTAATTTTTATCCTTTTTACGGTCTGTAAGACAAATTGTAAACTGATTTTACTCAAAAACTAAGTTTTATCGAAAAAACACATGAGACCACTTTTTTGTGAAAAACTATGAAATTTAGAATTTTGTGGCTGAAAGTGGCAAAAACCAACCGCCAAAATAGTTACAGTACTTTTTACCCTAAACCCCCCAGTTTAGGACGCCCCTAAGTAAAAATTTCGACATTTTATCTTTGAATTCATTTGGGTGTATAAAGGTTATCAATTGTACCAAATTTTGTAATTGTATTCACGATGGTTACTGAAATATTGGAAACAATCCATTAAAAGATGCACCCCTTTCAGGGGATGTGGCTCTCTTGTATAAAATTTTTCGATATAAGTTTATAAGAAACTTTTAGGTATCTTAAAATTGGTTAAGTTTGTAACAATAAAAATGATATTACTTGTTTGTATACTTGTATATTACTTGTTTGGTATTTATTTAGTGCATCGAAGTTAAATTCTAAAAAAATAAATATCTATTATGAAATAATCGGAAAACAAATATTTTATCGTGAACGAAAACGAGTGTGATGCACTGACAAGTAAACCGCTTGCAACGTTTAACCTTTTTAACTGCGTTTAAATTGTATTTAAATTTTTATTTACACGTGTTTTACGAGGGCATCCTAATAAACATAATTTCACCTCTTTAGAAGCACAGTGATAATAAAGCTGAAAATGTCAAATCACAAAAAATTGTTCACATATCTTATTTAAACAAGATGAAAATATTTATTTAAAAATTGTGGCTATTTACCAAAATACGTAACCTTGATTTTGGTTAAAGCAAATACATGTGAGATTATTTTTATAACTATTAAGCTATTTTACTTTTCAAAATATAGAACACAAGATTATAAACATTATTATTCAATTTAATCCTATTGAAACATCAGTTCACCTTATATAATTCTGCTGCATTACTTTGTTTATCAATATTTTTCTTTCTATTAGAAGTTTTATGTCTGCTTTTTATTATTTAACAATCAATTATTTATAAATCATTTTAAACAAGTTTTGTGAGGATGATTAATAAAATTATTTGTAGAAAAATCAGCAGCAGTCTCAAAGTTTTGGCACATTTTTTTTATTTACTTACTCGTTTTTGCGACATTTTGAAGTATAGGACACACAGTTTTAGACCACATATGCATGTTTACAACGGCTGTACTCTCACAAAAATACGTGCTCACTCTCTTGTTACCTTGAGTTCAATAAAATAAAACGAATAGTTAAGCGGCTGGCTTTCAGCGGAAATATTTAATATGAGATGATAAATGATATCAAGATTTTCAATTGTGTTAATAAAGGTCAAGTTTAACTCTGCATTTGATAAACAGTTTTATCTAAATCTTCACACGATATTTGAAAATGTCAAGAATCTTATTTATATATAGAGTAGGAGAATTTTATATTTTATACATAGCATGACTAAAAATAAGTGACCAACAGGATTATTACTGTTGGAATTTTTTGTTTAAAAAATCTGAAAAATGATAACAGTCCTTGTACAAGTCAAGGTTGCGATTTATCATAAATGATTAAAATTGTGGATATTACTAGAAAGTTGAAGCGATGTGATTTTATTTAGTTTTATTTCTTAACAACTCAAAAAATGTAACAAGATCACTTATTAATTTCTTTCAGGACTTCTCTGAATTTGTCTAAAAATATGTCGACGTGACTTTCTTCAAAAGTTAAAGCAGGCCGAAATCGAATGCCTTTTGAACCGCAATTTCCAACCAAAACACCTAAAATAAAATGTTAGACCATTTCAGTTTGCAGAAATCATACCTTTGTTTAGTAATTTTTTAGAAAATTCACTTCTCATATTTTCATCTTTGGCATCAAAGGCTAGAAGAGTTCCAACACCTCGCACCGAATTTATCAAATTAGAAAATTCACTTTCGAGCTCGTGGAGACCACATTTCAACTTTTTTCCGGTTTTTTGTACAGTGTCTAAAAGATTTTGCTTTCTCATGACTTCGATAATCACTTCAAGCAACATGAGTTTTCCGGGATCTCCCATCCAGGTGTTGAAAATTCGATAAGGGACATCCGGTCTGCAATTTTTTTATTTTAAACAAATACAAGTAAGTTATTACAAAAAATACGTCAACTCTTCCGAATGGAAATAACCCCCAAGTTGCATTTTCTTACTAAAAGTGATTACATCCGGTGGAGTCTCCAGATCAAAATGCTCGTGAAACCAAAACTTCCCTGAGGCTCCGCCCCCCGTTTGAACTTCATCAAACAGCAAATATGCATTGTTCTTCTTCACAATTTTTTGTAACTGTTGGAAAAACTCAGGGGAAGCTTCATAATTGCCCGCTTCTGACTGTAAAGGCTCGACAGCTACTCCAGCAACCGGAGTTCCTTTCTTTTCATATTTCTGCATCAAGTCCTCAACTTCTGCCAAACATTTTCTATCTTCTTCTTCATTTTCTCGCTTATTTTCCTCCAGTGGATACTTGTATTTGGGGAAATGTGCAGCGGGCCAGTCGATGGACGGAAGATCAACTTTTTGGATAAATTTCGAGTGTGTTGCAGCCAAACAAGCAAAAGTTCGGCCGAGAAAAGCGTTGTGAAAAGACAGAATTGTTAAATTCGGACAACCGGGTGGTTTGTTAAGGAGGGCGGAAGTTTTCTCTTCTTCTGTAAAAGGTTTGTTTCCTCGTTTTTTGCGCTGGTAGGCTAGAAACAAGTGTTTGAAAGCGTTTTCGTTCGAACATGCTCCACACATCATGAGATAGATTTTGGGCAAACAGGGGGAAATCTGGAACAAACTAAACTATTTTGTGCCAAAAGAGTGTTTTCCTTACTTGACTAAAAATATTTTTCACTTTCTCAGGATAATCGTCTCCGGGGAATAGACCAAGAGCTGGTCTATTAACTAAACGTCTCTGTAAATATTTTGTACAATTTTTTTGCAAATTTTATCTTGTGACTTACAAGATTGTCGTCGTTTTTGAACACTTTGAGTAGTTCTGGGTGGTTGTAGCCCAGTGGAGCTGCCGATATTTGAGAGAAGGTGTCTAAAATAACATTGCCGTCAACGTCGACCAAATAATTTCCAATTGATTTCAAGTAATTAATAAACAGTTGGATTGTTCCTGCATACTGAAAATTTGTCAAGCTTTGATTTTATTTTAACAATCTTTCGCAACAGACTTGAATTTTGTGTAATTCTGCGTGGAGTTTTTTGGAGTTTGGACCAGGGATCGGAGTCTTAACAGAAGGCCCTTTTGGTTCACCTTGCACTGAAGAACAACATGCACGAATTTGAACCTTGGCTAAAGTTGAAAAATCCATTTTGGAAGCTTATCAGTAGCAAATTACTTACTCAATTTTACTTTGTTTTTAAAAAGCTTGAGTAACATCTTGGCTTATTCTTTCTTATTTCATTATTGTGATATAAACTGTGTATAATGACAGTAAAAATAAGTTGAGAATAGGTGATAGATTCAATAAGAATGACAAATGACAAATAAATTAAACAAACGAGGGATTAAATTCTTTTCAGATTTGTCCAATAATAGTTGATCTTCTTAAATCTTAAAAAACTGGCTGAGTTTTTAGGGAAAATTAAGTGAAATGTTAAATGTGAATAGTCTAATTTCAGTTCCTGGAAAATAATTGGATTTTTGGGGTAAGTGGAAGTCACTCACTAGAATATTTGTTTTAAGATTGTTCTTATTTGTTACTTCTGTTAAAATAATTTTTATTATTTTCAAGTATATAACGTTTAATTTTTGTAACTGAAATGTGGAAAATAATCATTTACAGACAAAATGTGAATCTATAAATGATTCCAGATCGAAACTATAATTTTAATTTACTAGAAATCGTTAATGTTATAAACAAAGACTTTCGTCTGAACTTTATTTTATTGAGTGAAATTTTTATTTTTGTTTGTAACATTAACGATTTCTGTACACGGTACCAGAGATCGGGCTTTAGATGAATTTAATAGTATATTTAAGAAAATTAAAGGAACAAATGATATTCTTCTTTATTTATTTCCATTTTCTTTGGAGAAATTAATGACATAGTAGTAAGTCGAATTAGGGAGGGAAACATTAAGTTATATTATCAAAATATGATTTGTTTATTTATTTTGTGTTTCAATAAATGTTTAACTGCCTTGAAACCAATCAAAGCTTCGCAAAATGCAGTACAAGTAGTTATTTTAAAAATCTTCGCTTCTAAAGATTTCCTTAAAAGTGCTAAGAAAAAATTCTCAAGAACAAAGCTGTATATAATATATTCACTAGACTCCCGACATGTCAAAATGACATTAAGTTAGTTAAACAAAAAGTCACTATGGCTATGTTGGTGACAACTTCACTCAAAGTTTAACAACCTGGTCGCTATCACTTGATTTGAAATGATTTAATTATTATCATTGGTGCATGTGCCGTGTACCATGGAAACTTGACATCAAGTACAGTCAGATAAAATAATAGTCATCTGTGTCGTTTGGGATACACTCAAAATTTTTGGTTTGACATTGTAAACGTCACGGGAGTTTTGTGAATACATAATACTCACTATTATTTTAAATCATTAAGCCTGATTTACATTTTACAGAAAGCAAATTTTAATTTAGAATTAAATTAAATCGAATTAATCTATCCATTTCTTTAGATTGCCAAACGTCAAATTAATCACGAATAAAAATTTTGATTGCAATTAAATGTTCTGTAAATCGGCTCTTAATTTTTATTACTGATGGGATGATTCTTCGCAACTTTTATAAAAAAAACCCTTATTAAATTAATTCTTTGTTTTTTTAATACGTTTTTTTGCAAATGGTGAGCTAATCTTCCACTTTCCTCTCGATTTTTTAATAAAAATGTTTACTTCTGACTTTAGACTAAAAGGTAATTAAAAGTATTGGTAACCATGCAGTTTTCATCGCAACAAATTACCTTATTTAAAAATAAAAAAGGTCTTATTTGGATTGTCTTAAATTTATTATCACAAACACTCTAATACACCTTGTACATATTTTTTAAATTTACATAAAACACAGTTATTACATTTCTTGGAAGACATGACGGAAGACCTTTGTCGTTATTAACCAATCAACACGTATTACTTAATTTCTTTTAATACTTGTCTAAATTTATCCAAAAATATATTAGCATGATGTTCTTGGAAAATTAAAGCTGGTCTCAATCGAACACTTTTAGTACCACAGCCACCAGATTGGATACCTAACAATAATTAATCAAAAAGTAGTTCGCAAATTAAAAACAAGTTAAAATTTTTACCCTTGGCTTTCAACTTCGTTAAAATCTCATCCCTCAAGTTTGAATCCGTGGCATTAATCGCTAAAAACGTCCCTCGACCTCTTGTTGAATTCACGTAGTAACAAAATTCTTTCTCCAGTTCCAAAAGCCCGATTTTCAACATAGTGCCTGTATGCAATACGTTTTCTAGTAGTTTTTGTTCCTTAATAACTTTAATAACCGTTTCCAAAATGATCAGTTTTCCGGGATCACCCATCCAGGTGTTAAAAACACGCGACGGTTGTTTAGGCCTACAAACAATTAATTCCCTCCAAAACAATACAAAAATTTCCCAGACTTACGTCATCTCCGCAGTGTGGAAATAGCCCCCCATTTGCATTTTCTTGCTAAAAGTCACGATGTCGGGGGGCGTCTCTAAGTTAAAATGTTCGTGACACCAGAATTTCCCAGTGCAGCCACCCCCAGTTTGTACTTCATCAATCAGTAAATAAGCATTATTCTTCTTTGCGATTTTCTGCAACTGTTGGAAAAATTGGGGCGAAGCCTCATTATCGCCCCCTTCCGATTGTATCGGCTCCACGATAATCCCCGCAACAGGGATCCCCTTTTTCTCGTACTTTTCAAACAATTCTTCAACCTCGGCCAAACACTTCTTGTCTTGTTCTTCATTTTCGCGCTGGTTCTCCTCCAAGGGGTATTTGTATTGAGGAAAAGTGGCAATGGGCCAATCGAAAGACGGAATATCGATTTTGTGAATATATTTAGAATGGGTGGTAGACAAGGACCCCAAGGTGCGTCCGTGGAAAGCATTCTTGAAAGACATAATTGAGAGTTTGGGGGCTCCTGGAGGTTGGTTTACGACACATGAGGATTTTTCTTCGGCAGTAAATTCAACATTTTCGCCACGTTTTTTACGCTGGTATGTGATAAAAATGTTTTTGAAAGCGTTTTCGTTTGAACATGAACCGCACATCATTGTTGTAATATTTGGTAATTTTGGGGAAATCTGGAATATTTGAATGGTTTTACACAAAAGGGGTTATTATAAAAATTGATACCTCACTAAGAATCCCATTAAGCCTTTTCGGCCAATCATCCCCCGGGAAAACACCGAGGGCTGGTCTGTTAATCAAACATTTCTGAAAATTGAAATCAACAATTTTTCCATTAATTCAAACAAACGGTACCATATTATGTTGATCATTGAACACTTTCAATAATTCTGGGTGGTTGTAGCCCAATGGTAGGGAAGAAATTTGCGTGTACGTATCCAAGAGAATATTATCATCGGCGTCTACCAAGTAATTCCCGATTGATTTATCATAATTAACAAACATTTGTACTGTTCCAGCTTGCTAAAAATTCCGGTTATCAAATTTTTATCAAAAAATTATCTTCAAACACCTGTAATGATCCCAATTCCTGTAAAAGTTGCTTTGATTTAGGCCCCGGAATGTCAGTTTTGACAACCGGTGCCTCCGGTTCTCCTTTCACAATAGTCGAGGCCCCACGTATTTGATCTTTGAAAAAAATAAAATAAAATTTGGGTGAAACACAAAACAGACTTACTCAATTTTAAATTATTCCTCAACGCTCTGGACCACATCTTCACCACACCTTAGATATTGACCCGTAATTGTGACACAAGCGCACTCAGGAGTCAACTTTGAGCGGACTCATTTTCATTTTCAATTATTCAGTTCAATTTCAATTATATCAGTTTCTATTAATTCTTAAAATTGTAAAAGAAAAAGGGAAAATAATAATTATGCCGGTTGTCATTAAAATAGATAAATGTATTTTATTAATAAAGTGATCAAATTGTCATTAAATTTAGGCTTTTCAATTGATTTGTTTTATATGTAGTTGTTACGAGTAGGTACAGGATTAGCATTTTATCAATAACAAAAATCAAAAACAATCACAATAATTAACTGTCAAATAAATGAAACCAGATTTACATTGTGAAAAAAAAAAACAATTTTCTTTTTTTTTAAAATTAACTTTGTGTTAATATGAAAAAATATATTAGAAATATAGGAAAAAAAAAGATAGGAACTCTAAGGTTGAGAAGTGATCACTTCCTTAACAACTAATATGAAATATGAGCCTCTTTCCAACTCCCAATTTCTTAATGGCTTTCTGTTTTTTTTTAAGGGGGATGGTTATGAATAAGATAGTATACAGTATGTCCCCGGATTGAGTTTATATATACATATATATAAAAATAATAATTAATATAAATTAAAATAATTTAAAAAATGTGATCGTATTTTCAGAACGAAATTTTGTTTTATGAAAAAAATGATTTTTATAGTGGGTTGCCATTTAAAAAATATTTTTTTTTTGTAGAACTCAAAAACAAAAGGAAATTTTGAAAAAATTTATGTCACATTTTTATGCTCATCAATTAGTTTTTTCAAAAAATAAATAGTTTAAGCTAAAAACGTTTGGTTCCATACTTTTTGTTCACCTGGTATAGTATACGTCAAATAATACCCAGATTAGAAACAGTAACAATTTATTAACTAAGCAATGTAAATATAAGTTGACTTGTTGTCTTTATCCCTCTCCATGTACTCCCGTTCAATCAACAACTCGATCCTTTTCTTCAAATCTGTCTGGTTGACCGGAATATCCAACATCTTGTACAACTCCCGGACCAACATGTAGTGCTTAATTGTCTTTTTGCTCTTCATAATTCTGACTATAGCCGCATCTATTTGAAACTGCCGATCCACCAAAACATTTTTTTCGGTTTCTTTCTCATCCTCCGGAGATTCTTGTAACTGAATTTGGTTGATCTTCACCCTAAATAGCTTATCAGTAAACTTGCTGTTGAAAATGAAGACATCATTGTCGTCTATTTCTTTAGTTTTGGGCGATTTGAGCAAAATTCTGGCTTTACCATAAACCAGAGACAAGAGTGTTCGTTTCAACTCGACTTCCTCCAAATTTGTGGCTTCCAATATCTCTTTGAAACCATTCTCTGGCGATGTATTGAATAACAAAAGGATGATTGTTTGAAATAAGGACACTTGTAATTCCTTAATTCCACACTCGAAATTTCCTTTGAGTAAACAGTAAGTCAAGCTTGGTTGCCAGAGGAGTTTTCTCCCGCTGTGGTTACCCAAATAGAACTTTTGGAAATTCTGCTGGTAAGTCACCAACTCACAGGGTAAATTGACGGCATAGTTGGGGTAATTGGGCCAGTAGCTACTCGTCAGGACATACACCGAAAACTCAGAAGTAAACCCGTTACAACTCTCCTGATTTTTCACCTTTTGTTTAAACGAATTATTTATACTCTTACTCAAGTTGATATCTTGGAACATCCCTTCGATATTTGACGTGAAGGCACTCCCACACTCGTCTCGCAGCTTGGAAATCATGCTGTTCTCAGCGTCCTGATTGGCAGATTTTCCCAAAAGCAGTCTCTTTGCTAGGAGTTTCTTGTAAAAAGCTTCAAAAATATCTTTGCCTTGGACGTGTTTAAACAATTTTATCACTTTGGTCAAAATGACTTCCAGTTCCTCATCGTTGATATCCTTACTACGCAGCTTAACATCGAGGTATTTGGCCAAAAGTTGGGCACTTTTCGCATGAAAACTATTGATGAAATTCTTAAACGCAAGACGGACACACTCATGGAATTCTTTCTTGTTCTCGAAGGACATTTCGATGATTTTGTCCAGATCGTCCTTGAAATCTAGCAAATCCTGGATCATGTTTTTCTCATTTTTGACGTCGGTTATTGTGGTCCCTTTCTTGACAATGTAGTCCTTGAAATAGTTGATCAGGTATTTGGTACCGTTTGAGATTTTTTGGAACAGTTTGTAAATCAGGATTAATTCGCTGTACATCTTTTTATCAATGAGCTCGTCAAAACCTTTGTTCAGAATCTCAGTTATGTGATTCTCGATGAGTTGGGTGTAGACGATATCCAAAAGTTGGGTTTCTGAACTCTTGTTTAAGTATTTTTTAACTCTTTCTTGTTCTTGGGTGATCCTCTTATTGACAAGTGACAAGTATTGAGGCACTTCCATTGTACTAATATTTCTGAAACCTTCATCTTCGTAAAAAACTTGAGTCGACTTCAGAAAATCAGCTATGAAGATGTCCTCATAAATTTGAAGAACATTCAACATATTTATAGCCGATTTTAGTAAAACGACGTTATTGGTAGTTAGAGTACGTCTCTCGTCTTCAATTTTTTGAAGAATCTCTTCAATCAGACTTTTTTTGACCACAGGATTCAGAATAACAACACTGGTAAACAACCCCAAACTGATGCTTTGGACAGTATTGTATTTGAAAAATTTGGGAGAGCGGTCATAGTACAGGAAAATATTTTTAACAGTTTTGATATGTCGGCAAAATTCTTTCCAAAACTGGTCAATAACAAATAATACGTTACTCACATTGTCAACGATAAATTCCAATTTTTGGGTCAAATAAGTTTCAATCAAAACTTGAAGATTATACAACAAGGGGGCGTACTTGGCGGTGTACAACTCTTCGGCCATTCTGTACAATTCTTCTAAATTTGTGTAGTTTGAAGTATTCAAGATTGTGACAATTTCCGCTTCAAGGTGTTGCCATTTTTGTTCGATAATCTCCGGTGGGATAGGTGCAAGCCCCCGGAAATTCCGTATTGTGAGTACATTCTTTTTAGATGACATTTTACAAATGCTGGCGACTAGATGCGTTTGAAAATTGGATTTTTTTGAGCGAATTCATGACTTCTAGCTTGAAGTCCATTTTTTGTAAAGGTGAGAGTTTTCGCATTGATGGGAGGAGCGATAGGAGGAACATTTCGTCTTCATCGATGTCTTGTCTGGAGTGTTGAAGAGGACTACCTTCAGTGTGAATCAAATCGGGAGTAAGATCGACATCATCCGATTTGATGGTAGTTTCTTCATTTAGATCTAACTCTTCTTGTTTGATGGCTGGGTTTTTGTCACCTTCTGATGTATCTTCAGTGAGGTTTAGATCCGAACTATCTTCCTTCCAACTTCCTATGAGTGTATTTTCTTCATCAAATTTAGCTTCCAGAAATCGCAACATGTCGAAATAGACGTATTTTTTGCGTTTGGACCCTGCCACCAACTCTGACTGAAACTCTTTCCTTTGCTTGGTGTAGTAGTCTCGAACTGATTTCCATTTCTTCTGAATAAAAGCAACTAAGTAAGGCAGTTTAAGTAGGTCTCTTAAGTTAACTCATAAAACACTACTTACTCTTAGATTTTTCATCAGCTGTATTCTCAACAGTGCGAGGATAAATCGCCCGACATATTATTTTCCAAGCTTTTACTTTTAATGGCTTATCACTGTAACTAGGAAGATGGACATTCCACAAACATGGTTGTTTCTGTACCTCTGTTATCAGTTTTTGCATTTTGAACGAAATCGACATAATTTTGTGCGATTTACTTGTAGAAATTTATCAGTAACCGAATTCCGTCAAGTTGTGCGTGATGACCGACGGAACATAACGGAAAATTGCAGCTGTGAGAACCCGAGGTCAAACGTGAGCGTTGGACAAAATCAATAGTCAGCGGAAAAGAGGAAATTCCGTTCTGCTTTCGGTCTGTTTGTTTATCTATGACAATGTAGACGAAAGTATCATTTTATTTCTTTTTTCAAAATAAAAATAACGTTTCATTATGGTGTTCAAGAGGAATTACGAATTTTGGGATTAATACTGTATTTAATGTATTGTTGGTTGCAGTAATTAAACATTATGTTAAAATAAGATAACTGATAATATCGAGACTTTTATTACTAATTTTATTTAGTGATTAATTTAAATTTATTTTAAATTGGTGTTCTCTTTTGCAGAGTCCTTGATGATAATTTTTTATTTACTTTTATCAAAATTCACGAATTATAAAATGTTTGAAATAGCATAAACTGGACTTCCTCAATACGTGTTCTAGCTACTACGCCTATTTTTTGTGTAGTGTACGATTTAGCAGGGTTTTGGAACGAAAATTAGGTACTTAGTAACAACCAAAATAAAATTATAAGTTTACTGAATAATTTGACCAAATGTTAAATGCTTCATTGGAGGATCTCTTCAAATTTTTAAACAAGTACATTTTAAATATTTAATTATTATTTTTAATTAATTACTTTTGGGGAAATTCACAGGATGTGCACAGTGTTTTTGTACTTCAGAAAAAAGCATTAAGAGTATTGTGCAATTTAGGTTTTAAGGATACATGCAGAGACTCATTTAGAGAAGAAAAATTTTTAACGTTGCCCTGTTTGTTCATATATAATTGTCTGTGTTATGCTCATGAACATTTAAATGAATTTCAGTCTAATTGTATCTACCATGAATATAATACTAGAAATAAAGACTCACTCATAGTTCCTCACCATCGCCTGAAAAGAACCCAACAAGGTATCGATTTTTGGGGATCCAAATTGTATAATAAATTAAATGAAGAAATCAAGAACTTAAATATAATTCAGTACAAGAAAAAAGTAAAGACAATGTTGATCAACAGAAGTTTCTATTCTGTGGAGGAATGTATGCACTGTGACTTAAATTAAATATTGAAATTCATATTGTTACAGTCTGTTTTTCTTGTCTTGTTTTTGACTCTATTCTGTAATTTTGATTACGAATAAAGAGATTATATTTTTGTCTAATGAATAGACTCTTTGGTACAGTTTATTGTAAATATGTAAGTAAAACAGAGTAAAACATACTCTAGAATTTCTACTTGGTTTAATTTATTTAAAAAAATTATTATTATTTTTTTATATTTATAATTGAGACGTTTAGTATTAGCGTGGTTTAATCCACAAAATTTATAAAATTTGTTAGACCAACTGCTTATTGTTCAAATTTTCAGTAAAACACTTGCTTAATGTTTTAAAATAAAATATTAACGGTAAAGTGACTGTATTTGATACAAAAAAAAAAAATTAATTGTTTTAGGTTTTCGTCTAATGTGGGAATTCTCATACCTCAATTATTTATTAAAATTATTAAGTAACTCTTAGATTATTATTAAATAATGCAGTTGTTGCAGAAAGTATCCATTTTTTTATACAAATAATAGTATAACAACTAAAAACTAAACTGTAACCTCTTTTTATTAAAATAAACCTCGACACGTGTTTTGCCAACCAAGTTGGCATCTTTGGATTGATGTTTTTAACATTTTTTCCATGTTTCTGGTATCTTACCTTATATGGCATTTTTCTCTGGGGCGCGAATTCTGGCGCAGCCTGTATTATAGCATTATTATAGTTTAGATTTTTTATTAAGTATAATTAATATGTTTTATTTACAATTTTATTCTTACAACTGTTCAAAATTAACAAAATTAACTATAACAGGCTGTAAAACAAGCAGACTTGAAATTTTAACACATCTTTAAATTTTAACGATTTTGGAATAGAAAGCTTTCTTTGTTAAAATTGAAAGCACTTCAACTTCAAACTTCAATATTTGTCAAACATTTATTTTTGCGTGGTAATGATTTGGGAATAAAAGTATCGCTGTTTCTATGTTTTGCAATTTCTATAATTATACTACAAAAATGACAAGATGAATTACAACAGATCCTCGGAAAAGTAGTAAAACTTCGAATTATGCATAAAAGTTAATTTTGCAACAATCATAAATAGGTACATTTTTATTTTTAATAAAGTAAGTAAGTAACATCAAAACGTTGACATGAAGTTGATGTCTTAAAACATGATAATTTTGCAAAATTAATGTAGGGGGAAGATTCGCATAGTTTTACTTTTGAAAGATTTTCCTAACACAACACAATCATGTTGCCGAATATTCAGCTGATTAGGTATATTCCTAAATAAAAATTTGTAATTTTTATTTTTTTTTTCAAATTCTTTATTAATGTATTTAGTTATTTTCTTTGGGTGTTAGCTTCACAGCAGGAATAAATTAGAAGAAATTCAGGACCAATATCCAATCACTTTTATTTTACTTTTTTTATACTTTTTCTTGAGGATTAATATATGCAAATTTTGTGTAACGTGTTGAGTGACATCGCCCCTGGCTGTGACACTCGCACCCAATAAAAACTCATCGAAAAGGTGCCTTTTAAGCAGCAGGTACTCATATTCTACAATAGCTCCCATAAACATTTAACCGGTATCGATGACATTTCCGGTAATGTCATAGTCGTCTGCCAAAGCGACCACTTGACTTTTAGGTCGAAGTGTTAAAAAGCAGCGGGTGGCGAGGCGCCTGCAAGTGCCCACCCCTCTTTCTGTCTCGCCCAAAAACCCTTTTAAAAATTCTTGTCGCCACTGGGATTTGCACTACCACACAATTACGACGTGAAAGTTTCACATTCTTCAAGAGATAACTTGTGTGCAATCGTACATTAGCTAATGATCCTAGAAGTGGCCCTAGATGCGGACGATGAAGTAACATTTATAAATTTTGAGAAAAAACTTTTATAACTTGAGAACAAAAACGCTGCAAAGCTTTGCAGTGCATGATATATTTTTATTTTATATTTTTTTTATATTTATTTTTATGATATATGTTTAACCGGCAAGTTAAAAAAAATGCATGTAGGGCCACGTTAACTATAGGGCTAAATAAGCTACAGCTCCCTTTTAGGGCAGCAATTTGGCTTGCACTGAATCAGTAACGTCGTCATAGTCTTTCTAAAAAGTTATTACACAAGAATTAAGACGGCTAGAAGTTTTTTTCTGCAAAGAAAATACTCGTTGTACAAATTTAAGGTCATAACACTTTTGTGTGTGTTGTAGGTATTTGTAAAGATAAAAAAATTAAGAAATTTGTTAAAAGCTACTCAATATTCAATGTCTTAAAAAAAATTAATGGAACACTCTATTTATTGATTTTGCATCTAAGACATTTAAGACGGTTAAAAGTATGTTTTTAAATAGACAATTTAACAATCTATTAATAATCTATTAATTTAACTATCTATTAATTAAGTTTTACAAATATTTTTTTCTAGCTGTTTAAGTAATGTTGTGTAATGAATTAAAAAAAACAAACTTATTTTAAAAACTGAGCAAAATCGATCAATAAAAGGTTACGTATTGTAACACAAGGTGTATAATTGAAAATAATTTCAGTCGATGCCCTAGATTAGTATCTATCAATATTTAATTTTAACATTTAAAGGTCAATAAAGAATTCACTGTGGCACCCTGTATATTACCTCTTTAATGTATGTATTTGTATTTTCTGAAGGGCTTACTACTTTTAGTAGCCCAAGGGCGCCAAATATCTTAGACGGCCCTGGTTTCACAATAATAAAATTTGCTGTAATCGTCAATAAAGTGACACTTTTGTGTCTAGAACTTTCACTTCTGCCATTTAAACACTGCAGTAATTTTTTTTTGACGTTTGCTAATAAATTTGTTTATTTATCATTTTTAATTTATCTGACGAGTTTTGCAGATTGTAAAATAGTATATGTTCTACTTCTACGGGGTAAAAGTAACTTTATGTGTCTCAACTGAATTATTTGCCTTACGTTCAAGTTATTCGTTTTTAGTAAAAAAAATTACATAGAATAAAAGTCTCCAACTATTATCATCTACTCAAATAAGTTTTATACTTATATAGAGTTGTCGGAAAGTAATTTAAACAAAAACTTAACGGTTTTTGTCACTATCTAGAAAAATAGTCTTAAAGTCGTAAAAAATGTTGGCAGATGAGAATGGAATATAATTATTAAGATCGCTTATTCTAAAAATAGTTTACTTAAGTTTTACATCCAGTGTCACCGAAATTATTGCAAACTTGTTTTTTTTATGAAACATTATACATTGTAGTTTATAGTTTTTTCTCCATTTTTTTTTAGTATTTCCTAATTTTTAAAATTGACATGAAACTTTGGTCTTGGTTTAGGAATTAATAAAAATAGGCAAAATACCAATCTCATTAATTACATTTTATTTGGTTTTTTGCTTTATCGACAAATTTCTACAAAAGAAAAAATAAACTAATGTATAAGAAAAGTGTTTTATTTATTCTTAACTCCTAAGGTCTACATTTTCAACAATAAAAGTAAAAGAAATTTTCCTCTTAAGTTAAAAAAATATTAGTGATTTTTTAAATCAGAAAATGTTTTTTGCAATAACTAATCATTATTAATTTGGTTTTTCTGCTGTTATAAAGTAACTATGATTGACATATTTTTTTTTTAAATTATATACAAGTGTTTCAGAAGTCGCGTTTTTTCAGCAATCCTAACTAACTAAATCGCGAATGGTGATAGGAGATTTTCATCTAAGTATAAAAATGAATACAAATTTTTTTAAGCAAAACTGTCAATTTCCATATATCATGGAGGCACCTTAGCTGTTTTATTTCCGATGTTCTCTGATTTAATTTATTGTTGAATTTGTTAGTTTGTTAATTGTTTTGTTCACCATAAGACACAAATTGATGATTTTTTTTCGATAGGTACCTATCTGTTCAATGCTACAAGATCTGCAGTTTCCGCTAACTAAATTCAAGAATACATGATCTGAATGTCCAAAAACTTAATCCAAAATATAGCCTTTGAAGAGCTATATCTTGTAAAAAAAGTCTCAACCAATTTTTGTCATGAGAATTTGAACTCAGTTGTATGTCACTTAGAGATGGTCCGACACTTTTGAACTATCGTGTATAATTTATTAATAATTTTTGTAATGTAATGCAAAGTTAAATTTAAGATTACTTAAATTTGTTTCAGTTAAATCAAGAGCAGTAGATAAGTTCTTCATTTTATTACAATCTAGTTTGAAAGTGGTTATGGAATGGTTTGTTTTATTTAATCGCTGATATTATTACGAGAAAGAAACAAAAAAAGAAAAAGAAACTTTAACTAGAAATTAGCATTTTAAGCTGATTGGGTACCCAAAGGAGTCTCCTACCTGGAATTGGCGCCTTATTTTGACTCGTACTATCTTAATCCTTATTAAGCTTTTCTTTTTTATTGCGCTTTTGTGAAAATTTTTAGAAATCGTAAATTTCAATGTGTCATCATTTTCTGTTTTTTTTGACTCTCCTGGTTTCTTTTAAAACAGTACCTTATTGTTTTCCCTCTATTCCACCGTCGCCGTCTGCAGTCTGCTCCAAGTAGTGCAAAAGGGCGCCACTTCGGTACCAGATTGCCACCCTCAAATGGCTCGGAAAAAACCACGCTAATTGCCGTGTTTATTTCGACGGCTTGTTTCGAAAACAAAGTCAATAAAGGAGCTAAGATAAATTATAATGGAGGGCAGACGCCAGTTTATGGTACTCGAAAAACGATTTACATTGTTCGGGTTATCTCTGGAAAATATCTTTTGAACGGCACTCGTTGATAAAGATTGTGTACTTGACCGATTCTAATTGCTAAAATATTTCGCTAATATTTATTTATCGGAGGACCAAACAGGAAGCACAGAGATGTTACTGTAAATAAGAAGCGAATTTTAAACATAAACATCCCAGCGATATGTTTGCTCTTCACCACGTATCGACATCGTTAAAGTGAAAATCAAGGGAAAGAACGATTTTATCGGTGTTTGGACGGTATTAGCACCATAAAATTATCATTAACTTGAAGTGTTTGTGTATTACAAAAGTATTACTCATTTGCACAAACACAACATTATGAATAATAACAGAAATGGATAGCGCATTAGACATATTTGATATTTCATCTTCGAAAACATTATAAGAGTAAACTATTCAGAAGAATGCGTCAAGATTTTTAAAAACTCCATTTTTTGTTTGCTTTTATTCTTGACAACGCAATTTTTTGTGTTTGATAAAGACGGAAAGATAATGTGTTGTATAATCTTGTCAAATAATTAATTAAAATCATTACATAAAATATTTATCGGTCTGACGATTTCATTTTTTATCTTTAGTCTGTAATTATTGATTGATTACTCTAATTTTAATTTTTATTTAAAATTTTCGAATTACTCTATATTTTTTCCAATAATAAAGCAATCAGATAAGTATTGTAGTAAATTAGTACAATTACCTTTTTATTGTGGTAGCTATCATTTGTAAACTTAATTGCAATCAACAAAATAAATAAAGAACTAAATTAAAAATTAATTTATTTTTGTCATCCACTTATTTTTATTACTGTGAAAAAGTCGTCTGAAAAATTAAATAAACTATAGATTAATGTCAGAATGTGTCTTTATGTAACTTTTTGCAGATTGAGTATAATTTTTGACAACGTAGGTATGTATGTTATGAAACTTTAATCCATACAGTGGCTTTAATCAAAATGTCCTATAATTTTAATATTATGTTGACACTTTTGAAGTATTAAAGACAGAAGATATGTAATGTAATGTATATTTATTTCTGTTAAGAAAACATAATATTTACACATGCCAAAGAGCGAAAACAAAACAAAATAACTAATATAATATGTATATAATTACATAAAAATATCCATGTAACATTTTTTTAAAACTACATATTAAGTAGTAAAAAATAAAACAGGCACAAAATAAGTTATGAAATAAAACCATGATTTAAAAATGTATTATTAAAGAAGTAAAAAGCTGGATGTAAAAGGAGACATTTTTTCAAATCTTCGTTATAGGAGAACTCCAAAACATTAAAAAACATAATAAAGCATGGTGAAAACATTTTATATTATATTTCTACTCCTTTCTATTTTACCAACTTTATAAGAATCACAGGTCGTCCTGAGCAGAAATTTAAGTAAAGGCATGGTGTAAATGACGACTTTCTTTTATAGTTTTCTATAAATTTCTTATTTTTTATTTATTTATTTTTTTTAGAAAAAACGACTAAATATATGAAATGTGTAAAATTGAAATATAAAATAAAACAAAAAAGAAAATATTGTTTTTGTTAATTTGAATTTTTGAAGGTTGCTTAAGTATAGATTTAAAAACTTGTAGAGATTGCTTAAAACAATTTGAAAAAACTGAATTAGGAAAGCATATTGTTGAAAATTAGACATAGGTACACAGTGATTTTGAGGTATGTACAAATTTTTTAACAGGCGATCGTAGAGTCTAAAAAACCCAACTGCTTTATCCGAATGTTTATAGTTTCTAAGATTTAGAGGGTGAAACCTTTACATTGGCGTCGAGAAAAATATATTTTGAACCTTTTGAGTACATTATCTCATTGTTAGTAATCGGTAACATTTGAGGTAGGTAATGAAATTGGGTGATATCTTCAAGAAAAAAAATTGATCCAAAATTTTTACCGTTTTTTGATTTTTTAGATGAGACTTTTTTCTATGCCAGTTTTTGCTGATTTTTTCTATTTTTTTTAAACGCTGTTATAGATTTTGAAGAACTAACCTCAGAGATTGTATTAAAATGTTTACAATTTGAGTTGCTGAATTTAAAACCCTCTGTATCTCAAAAACTTTAAACATTCGGATAAGGTAAGTTGAGTTATTTTGATTTCTTTTGAACTCTACTATTACCTGGTAAAATATTTGCACATATCTCAAAATCACCCTGTATATTTTACTAATTTTATTTTTAAATTTAGCATATTATTATAATAACATGTAAAAATAAATTAATCAATAGATAAATTTTGGGGCTTAAATTTAACATTAGAAATGCTTAGAATTTTGTTAACTAAAAAGTTCATTTTGTGAATCTTGAAATAAAAATTACAAAATGTGTTCCCTTTTGCGCGACAATTTCCTGTAGTAATAATTAATTATCGAAAAACGCACTAATCAAAAATAAAACAACACGACTAATCACCACTCTTCAATTGATACGATTTTGAAAGCGAAAATATAAATAAATACGAAACTACATTGATAACCCGTTAGTGATGACCCAGTGGAGTGCTAACTAAATTCATTACTAACCAAAAAGACTATCATCTTCTACCAGGAAAAAGGGGTAAGTTGCAAACAAGATTACTCAAGTAGAAAAAATTAATCTGTAATAATCCACCCCAGTGGGGGTTGGATGATAACAACTTTGAAGAACTAGTGGGTACCACCACCACGTGCTCATCCCCTCTTAAATCAAAAACTAACTTTTAAATGCGTATTTAAGGGGTGGGTGAAAAGTAATTTTCTCATTTTGGACGTTGGTGCTGTGTGAATTTTTGTGTGCGAAATTATGGAAAGTCAAATGGTGGACGGACGCGATTATGTGTACAATGGTAAAAAATAATGGAAATTTCGGAGTGGCACTTTTCGAAAATGCAAAATTTTCTAGATTTTTATCCGATTGAGAAGTCCAAGACCCAATTGGCTAATAAAGAACTGTGGGACCAATTTCATGACTTGCAGACGGAGATGATTATCACCAAAAGTGGGAGGTGAGTGAAATAATCGTGTTTTGTTTTTTATTATTCATTATCTCGACAATGCAAGTCTAATCTATACAAAAAAGAAAATTCCGGAAGAGCAATTTATTGGTACTTGACTTTGATAAATATTTTAAATGAGTTTGAAGTGATGTAAGCCCAGGTAAAGTACAGATTTCTTGTCATAAATTGTTCAAATTTGCAAACCGCATTTCTATTCAATTTCAAGTGGTTAATTGCGCCCTAAAAGCAGGTACTTGACTTTTCGCCCTACACCCCCCAATTTAAATATTTACGACACCCTGAAGTTGTTTACTCGATTTTATTATTTTAGGTCGCACAGTAACGGGAAGTTATTATTTTGTTTAGGCCCAGAATCAAATTGTTTACACAAGTCTGATATTTCGCACTCGACATGTGGTAGCTCTTGCTTCTTTTTACCATTTACTTTTTGTTTCTTTGTCAATTGCTTTGATGACAGTCTTGTTTGTCTGATGGTTAAGGCGCCACAAAACTTGACGATTTTCCAAATAACAAGCCTCGACAGATGCGCCCCCGCCTCTTTGTTTTCTTAATTATAATCCTCCGAAATCAGTCACTTGGCACGTTTCCGGAAATACCGAATTGATTTTTGATTACGGTGATTTGGACGACGTTTCCGGAAAAGTGTGAGAAACTTTTCATTACAAGCGGTGCTTTGGTGTCTCGAGCGGTGCTTTTGACGACGGCTTATCCGGGGTGGTCACTGTCTCAGTTTTTCAATTCTGCGTAGCACAGCTCGGCGGTGGCTTTGGGGGCAAGTCGGGTGTTAAATGTTTGCATAATCCAACAGGCGCCTTTTGAGGGCTTTTCTGACCCTGTTTTCTATTACAATGCGAAAATAAGTTCACCCACGGCTTAACCAGTTCCATTCGCATTGGTTAAAAAATTTGTACGTTTTCGGATTTTTGTCATTTTATTATTATGAATTTTTTCATATTCATATTATGAATAAAGGAGAAAAATTACCTTGGTCAGATTCAATATCATTTTAAATTTGTAGCTTTATAAACAATTTTAAAAACATGAAACCTTTGATTAAAATGAATTCAAAGTATAATTTTAATTTTCTATTACATTTTACCAAAATCGTGCTTATATATACTCATATTAAAAGATTTTATTTTTTTTTATCCGCAAACGTCACAAAAGTGGTCACTTTTATTACTAAATGTCACAACAAAAAAGGTAAAAAATACCTTTCAGATGTGGAATAGAAACTGTTTTTATTTCTATTTTTATTAAAGTGTTTTTATTATATTATTATATTTATTTTATTATACAGGGTGTTTACGGTCTTGAGGTTGAAATTTAAATGAGATGATATTCACGGTAAAAGAAAACTAATACGCTATATAAAACAAAAATTCACATTGTTAAAGGAAATTATTCATTTTACACTATTTGTTTGAGAACTGCTGCTTCGGCTACAACAATGGCCATTAGTATCATTACCTTGTGTTTCACTGTAAATCATAATCACGACAACCAATTTATAATTTTATTATTTTGCCATACATGTTCATAAATTTTGAGAAAAATTAAGAAAAACGAATCAAACCTATTGGAAACCGTTCGCTGAAAGA